CGAAGATACTCAATGGTTGTCGGACGTCCGATGCAGTCTTTTTGAGCGTCCGACAGCTTCAGCATACTTTGTCTTCTTCCAATTACACTTGTTCATGGAATCAAATAATTTCATAACTGAAAATATATCTTGAAGAAATAATAGTATCATCCATTTGTTTTGTAAACATCAAAAGATAGGGATCAAGATCAACAGTTTTTCTACTTAATCTAATTGGCTTAAATATCCTAAGTGATTATTTATGTTAGTTATTTCATTAACAAAGTTTAGTTCTTCATCTGAACAATCTGTTTCCAAGTCTTCTATATATATAATGCTATATATACTTTTGGAATCAGACATGTATTCATCTATATTTAAGATATCTTCATTAACACATTCTACTAATACTGTTTGTTTATTATAGATGTTATTTTTCTACGGCAATCTCTTGCTAAATGATTTGGTTGACAACAAGTATAGCATTCTAGTTTATTCTTATGTAATCTTTTTTTGTCAAAATTCCTAACATGTCTTTGTTTAAATATGGCTTTTTGACAGAAGATTTTTCTAAGATAATATTTCTTTTTTAAAAATTTTCTTTTTAGACTTTTTATATTGGTTTCTAACCTTTTTTATTTCTATATTGTTTTGGTGTATATATAGTACTACAAAAACTATATTTTCCTTTAAGCTATTTTTGAATTTTTACAAATGAGCATTTATCCACAAGATTGGCTACTATTAACTTTATACAAGTTGCTACGTTTTTTGCATATACTGTATTCTATTCTATTTTTTAATAAGTATTATATATTTATTTTCATAATTCTCCTGGGAGTTTTAAAAATAACTTTTCTAAGATTAATTCTTCATAAAAACATCCTACTAGTGTTGTATAATAATAAAAATCTTGTTAGAAGGCTTTTATATATCTCCATTTTTTAATTGTTAATTGTTCTAATTTCCTAATTGCATCCTCTTGTTGCATTCTAGTTCCACAATTAGGACTTTGAATTGTTAATATAAATTATATTTTATTAGTAAAGTTATGAGAATTAGCTCCTATTACTATATCTTTTACTACTTTCTCAGGAAATTTCTCTTTATATTTTTTCCATGCTCCTCTAGCAGTTTCTCCTAAGTATGTTTCTAAATATGTATACATTTCTTGTGCTGTATGTTCAAACCCTTGTTGTATATAATGTTGAACTACTTTATATTTCGGTACATCTATTACACTATCCCATAGCTGTGAATCATGGGCTGCCAAATTTAACACTCTACCATTATCTATTAAATTATTATCTATTAAATTTTTACTGTCTATAACTTCTAATGGTTGTCTTTTGTCTCTAACCATTAAATTTTTTTCATTATCTCTATAGTCATTATACGTTACTCTAGGAATATTGCCAGGTGAATAATTTCTAATTTCTGAAGATGGAAGGTTACCAGTATTTGAACTACTATCCATGTATTCTATTTGTTTGTCAATTTTTTCAATATTAATTTTTGCTCGTACCCTTATATTCCTATCTTCATTACAATATAAATATTCATTATCCTCTATTTGTCCCTTTTGTTCTAATTCAAATTCTAACAATATTAATCCCTTTTCTGTTAATGTTAATTCTAATTCTCTTGGATATATAATCCTATTTTCTATATTTGTTAATTCTATATAAACATTTTCTATGTGTGCTTCTAATTATTCATTATCTTCTGTGCCAGTATTTATCTTGGAATAATTTAGGAATCTGAAATTAGTTTCTCCTTTTTATTTTGATATACTATACTATATCTCAGTATTAAAAGCCTACTTTTTTCTAAAAATTTACTAAGATTTCACTCTTCTCATATCTAGAAAGATTGTACTTTTTTCACATTGTTTGCATGGTCTAGAAGATAAGCAGTATAATAGTTTGGTTGATTTCATTATAAGTTTGGGAGAAATTTACATTAGAAAAAGTACAAGTTCTCATAGAAGTGCAACGTTCAAAGTAAGAAAATATAGTGAGATAGTAAGGGGAAAATGTAGAATGGTAATAAATTATAAAAGATTTAATCATAATACATTAGAAGATAGTTATAATATTCCAAATACAGATCAATTAATAAATAGAATACAAGAATATTATATATTTAGCAAATTTGACTGTAAATCAGGATTCTGACAAATTAGAATCCTTCCGGATAGCATAGAATGGACAACATTTAGTTGTCCTTTGGGATATTTTGAATGGTTGATAATGTCATTTTGGACTAAAAAATGCATCATCAGTATTTCAATGTAAAATGGATAATATTTTTGAAAAAATATAGATAATTTGTTCTAGTATACATAGATGATATGTAAAGAACACATTAATCATTTTAAAATAGTATTATTAGAATTTTTAAAACATGGTATAATAATAAGTTGCAAAAAGGCCTTGTTTTTTAAAACTAACATAGAATTTTTAAAACTGAAATAAAATAAGGTAGAATAAAATTACAATCACATATTAGTAAAAAGGTTTTAGAATTTCCAGATAAAATAGAATCATCATCACATTACCTTGATACAGAATATAGGGATGATGCACTAGATGACGATTTGGGAGATGAAAAATATGTCAATCTTATAAATGCTATAGAAGGATAAAAAGGAACTAACTTTTGTCAGCCATCTCAAAAAAGGTGACGAGACATAAAGAGATGTTTTTGGGATTTGTCAAAAAACTTGTAAATACTTAGTTTATAAAAAGTCCAAAAAAATTATAGAATATTTCTTAAGTCCAAAGATTCATATTTGGACTTCCCATCTATAAATACTATTGTGCCAGACCTATTGGACACAATGGTAGAAACTAGCATTCTGAAAACTATTCAAGGAAAATAAAAATTTTCTTCATTCAAAAATTTTTTTATCCACTTCTAAATAACCAACCTTGGACTTTTGCTAAAGAGAGAGTGGAAGTTTTAGTAACCCAACGAAAAGAATCAAAGCACCTATCCAGCCGTTCAACCATGAAGAAGAGGCATTAAGGCACTAAGGGGAAGAGGTGTGAGGCAACTCCGGTGAATTAACCCAGTAACATAATATGTTTCAAAGAACATTTCACTAGAATTGGAACATCTTTATTGTTGACCACGATCTTTGAGTCGGCAAACTACTTCTTTTTATTCCACAGTCTCACAATTCATTTGTTGTACTTATATTCAATTGAAAAGGAGCAGACAAAAAAGTACTCATGGCATTTTAGTTTTTGGATCTGAGATAGTAGCGGTATGTTGATGTTTAAATGTTTAGTTAGATCCAATCACATCCTTCAAATGCTGGCATTTTCTATGGATATTTTAAGATACAAAGCAATATGATTAGGACCTTTTTGTTAAAAAGCAATGCCTCTTTTCATTGCCTATAATGTGTTTGTGATAGGTGATACTTCATGGATTAGGCATGCATTCACAAAAGATACTATTTTATTGTACTTTGGGTTTATAATGTTTTCATTAGACTTTCTTTCTACATTTTAGCAATTCTAATTCTAACCACCCGTTTGGTTGGGAGGTTTTGCACTCCTCAATGGAATATAAGGGTAGTGATTCCTTTTGGTTCTGTGTTTGGTACATCACTAAGGGATTCTTGGTTATCTACTTTTGGGTCATTCAAACCCCAAAAGCCATTCCCTCATAAATTTGGTACTATCACCTCCATTACCCACCTTCTAGAAGAAGTTGAAAAACAAAACCAAATTCAACTTAGAAAAATCAAAGAAGAGTCACTACTTTTCCACCTCCTTCCACTGCTATCTCCTCCTCCATCCCCACCCAACTCTTACCACCACATTCCTCCTTTATTCCTTGAAACTCTTTCCTTCTACCACCTCCTCTCGTCTGTCTCTTTCTCCCATTCTACTTCATCTCCTTTTCTTCCCCAAGCTTTCTCATCTTTTAATCTCCACCTCAATCTTGATTCATGGGGCATTATGGTTCTTGGCACATTGAGATTGGGGTATTTCGATTATGGTGTTTTGAGTTTCTTTTACACAAAAGTTGACGAATTCATCATGGCTTATGGTCGAGTTAGGGATTTTGATAAAAATTTGATTGTTATGAACAAAATCCAAATTTAGAAACCCAAGAAGAAAATTTGGTGCTCTATTTTACTGTCGTAATAGCGGTTGGCCTTTAGGGGTTGAAGATTGGTTGTTAGCTTTAGTGTCTTAGTGAGTATAGATGAAAGATGGATGAAGAAGAAACAGGAGAGATGAGATGCAAGGAAAAAGGGAAAAAAGCGAAAAAGAGGAAAAAAAAAAAAAAATTGATTCCCATCCCACCACCAATACCAAGTACAAGCTTTTACAAAAGGAATTTTGATAAATCTATTATCATTGAGGGGTCTTCCATAATGATTGTCATTGCCATTACATAGTGGAACCAAACGGATGGTAGATGTTTTGCTATAATAACTTTTATTGATAACACATATATATTATATAAGGGATTAGTAAAGATTTTTTTACACAAGTAGGTTTAATGTACGTCACATTATCACTGTCCAAATTTTAAATTTACTTTTGTCCATGTGTCATTTTTTTGCACCAACAATTGTGTTTGGATAGGAGATTATTTAAAATATTATTTGAAATAATTTCTGTAGCACTTTTTGTGATGTGATGAATGTGAAATAAAAAAGTAATTAGGAAGATAAAAATGTGTGTTGGAAATTATATTTGTGATGTAAACAAATAAATTTTGACCATTATTTGACTATCCAAACACGCTCATTAATGTATATAAGATTAGTTCATAATATAAATGATTATGCACAGATACACACAAATATAAAGTACATATTAGAAATGAAGGTAAATGGACACAAAAACAAGAACAAGAGAAGAGCTCCAGCATAATTTCTGTTTTTTTTGTAATAAAAAGTTTGAGTAGGTTCGGTTTCAGTTACCACCAGGAATTAGGGTATGCTTTTGGACTGATCATAGGTTGTTTAAAGAGGTTTATACATATTGCTTATCAATACAACTCTTACTTAGATAACAGAATCTTTTGTGACAAACCGTTCTTCCTAATTGAGCCAAGTTGCGTTGAGCCCGTTGGCAATGTGTTTGCTTGGGTACCATGTATGGTTGGTTGCCTGCGGCCTCTACAAACGGTCAATTCTCTAGTAATTGTATATATGGTCATTCCCTTGTACAAAATTTCGTTTCAACATTTCTTTGTATTCTGTAGAATGATTACTTGGTCATCTACTGAATGAGAATACTACACGGAAAGAAGAAGAAGAATCTCCAAATTATCTTATCTACCAGAAATGAAGAATTCTCCTGTAGAGTCAACGTCATCATCGTCGTCTACAGCTGATAATCTTCTTCTGGAAGACTTCGGGCAGAAGGTGGATCTGACCCGCAGAATTCGCGAGGTTTTGTTGAATTACCCGGAGGGAACGACGGTGTTGAAGGAACTTATACAGAACGCCGACGATGCCGGAGCTACTAAGGTCTCTTTGTGCCTCGATCGCCGTTCGCACGGCACCCAATCCTTGCTCTCGGATAAGCTTGCGCAGTGGCAGGGCCCTGCATTGCTTGCTTACAACGACGCCGTTTTCTCCGAGGATGATTTTGTTAGTATTTCCAGGATTGGGGGGAGTTCTAAACATGGACAGGCTTGGAAAACTGGTCGCTTTGGGTAATTTCTATGGTTCTACATTTTTCTAGCAGTTCTTAGTAGCTATATTTCGTTTTATGTTATTGCATTTAATTTTTTTTTGGTATCCTGTAGTGGTTTAGTACATATTATCACTATTTTACTGCATGATTATCTTGACTTAATGATTTGATGCCGGAAAATGTGTAAAATTTAGTTAAATATTTTAAGTAGTTGTTGTTAGTTGAATGTATTTGTATGGTAATGTGTTAGATTGAGATAGGAGAGAAATTGAGTAGAGTACTAGTTGATTGAGTGTAAGCTTACATAAAAAATTGGCTATAAACCGCGTCTCAATGTTTCATTTTGCCCGTTTTTAAGACTTTTATTTTACAGCACTTTTTTTGATGAAAAAAGTAAAAAAGTTTACTGCAGGCGGTGCTCTCTTTAGTCATCCGAACGGCCCTGTATGGCATAGATCTCTCTTTCCGGCCATGTTTATCCACATTTTTTAAGTTTGTGAATGAATTTACCTTCATTGATTTAATGCACATTTTTCTTTTCTTTTTGCTCCTTGTTTCCTTCTTTTTATTCTTCTCAACCAATGTGCTCCCAAGAAACCTAAGACTACACAATCCTCTACTCCCACTACTTGTGCTACTTGCCACTACTCTTACCAGCAGCTCTTCTCAATGAAATCACAATACTCAACTCACTTGTTTTGTTTCTTTTCTTTTTTTTGGGCATGAAATTTTCTGTAAACCATCAGATAAACAAAAGATTAACCACAAATGTGCAACAGCAATCATCATTGGAACTAGTGCCCTGAAGAACTAATGTTCTTAAAAAACAGATAACAAGGGGAAGAAGTACCTTTAGGAAAATGAGAGGACATTTGTCCTCATGATATTAAAGTTTGGGTGTGTTAAAAAGCAGTAAGGTTCAAGGATTTAGTAATATTGACAAAGTTCTGATTTAAATATTTTAGGGGCAAATTCAATCTTGGACCTAATTGCATGAAATTCAACATAATTTACCCTGTACATTACCAAATTGAGTTTATTGGTTGAATTTTTGAGTTGAGATGAAGTTTAATGTAATTTATCCTCCATTTTGAAGGATAAAATGCTCTTCTAGTTTGTCTAACACTCGTTTCTTTGCATAAATCATTCCATGTTGGAAAAGATCAAGCTTTAGACTTGATAATTCTAGTTAGAGCAGATTAGAGAAAGTATATAAAGCTGTTATGCTATCCTATCCTGACTGCTGATCATCTGCACTTAGCACAACTCCTATAGTAATTTTGACTGTTTTATTGAATTGTGATGAACTGTTTGGGATAAAGTTTAGGCTTCCAACCTCTATCTATCAGCCCTCTGAAGATCAGTAAGGAGATCTGTGCCCATATTAATATAGTTATCCATTGAAGTATTCTCTTTTCAATGTGATCTTCTTTATCGTACAGTAAAAAAGTATGTTTAATCCTTTGATCTATTCCTTCCTTTTTGGCTTGTGAATTTATTATATAGCTTGGATCAAGGATGCTCTGACATGCTGTTGGCTATGTTTGAAGAACTAATAGGGTGTAGTTCAAGAATTGAAAGTTGATATAGGTGCCAGTATAATTCTTAGTGGTAGAAGTTTCGAGGATCAGTAACAGGAAAGTGCAGAATTAGAACTTTAAAAAGAGAAAGCAAGAAGGAACAGGAAGAGAAGAATGGAAAGCATGACCTTGAGAAATCTTGTCTGAATTTCCTTCGAATGATTTCAAAGAAAGCCCAGCATATTCAAATCTCAGCTCAACATAAATTCTTTCATGCCATCCTTTTCATATATTTATTCCAACTGATTGGTATATAAGAAACAGAGTTACAGGTTAAGAAATTTAATTGCTGGATGAATATTTATACCTAAGCAAACCTAACAACTAAGAAAGCTAAAAGTTGAAAGATTTAGAAACGGAATTGGGCTTGATCTTGCAAAATTAGTTTAGGCAGCCAAATCTGACTAACTCCTAAATTTTGACTGAACTGGATAATTAAACCTCATGGTACTCGGGCACTTTACACAATCCTGAAGCACCCAATTTTACAGGATATGACATGGTAGGTGGAATGGGCTATGTGTCAAGATAATCTGGTCAAACATTAGTCGTGTCAATGTTTTGACTTAAGCTGGGACTTTGGGACTTTACTAAATCGCTGCCAAGAACTACTTTATAGCGTAAGTGTTTATTTGAGACATTATAGTTTTAAACTTCAAATAGTAAAGGACATTACAATGCTGCAAGTATGGCATGGTATGTCATAGGCGATTAGCTTTTTGGTCAATGAAATACTTAATTTAGCCATGATGAATGAGATATTACAATATGCACATAAGATGTTTCTTCTGTAAGCGTATTGATTGAAATGTACTTTGCATCATATTCTAGTGCATGTTCTAAAACCTTTTCCCTGTCTTAGTATCTTCCAGGTTAGAGACGGCAATGTAATACCTTGAGATATGCATGAAAATGATAGTCACACAATATTTTAGCACTTGGTGAAAATACAATAATGCCTTATAGCCCTAAAAACCTTACAAGATAAGTCTCAAATGTTATTAAATTCTGAAACCTATTGGGTTTGGAAGTATTGAATGCCCATTTTCTTGTCTAAGCCTTACAATATATTAGATGTATATATCCACATATTATGCCCTAATATTTTTCAGGAGAATATGCAGGACTTATTTCTGTTCTCTCCTGACCATAAATGGCCCCAAAATGTTTGGAAAATTTTTAACTATTTCTTATTTTTTAATAAAAAATGGAACTTTTCTTAGATGTTCATAAAAAAAATGGAAATTTGAAGTTTAGTTACCATTTATTATTGTACTGTAACTTCTCCCCATAATACTTCTCCTCAAGTTGGATTGTATTTATTATAAGCTCCTGAATTGTAACAAATGCATTTTACTTGTGAACCTCCCAGTCTGTTACAAAAAAATCAGCTTGTTGATCTATAGATCTTACATGGTATCAAAATTGAACTTTGGTTATTTAAGTTATTTAACTCATCAACTCCCATTCAAGGTCCATATATGACTCACTTTTTTGCTTGCTTGCTTTAGTTTCATAGGCACACGAAGCCTTTTCCTAATTAATGTGTTCTTGTCAATTCCATATCGTGTGTCAGGTGGGTGTCAAGGGACTAAAGCCTGCATTGGTTTTTTGAAGGATTCCATTCAAGTAAATAAAATTTTGGGCCTGTTGTTGCTAATTGGTTTTGAGTTTGATGACTAGGTTCCATCTTAAACTATTGTGAACCTTTAAAAGTGGAATTTTTTTTGGGGGGAGACCTAAAGTAGATCATTACGTCTTACAATTTATTTTACTTTGTTTCAACTATTCAATAGATTTTTCTTTCATAAGTGTAGCAAATGCCTAGTTTGATTTGTGGATGTGGACCCGTCTAATTGTTTTTGTGCCTGTGAACAGTGTCGTTGGGGAATGACTCCATTGTATTTGAAATTTCTCAAACAACTGGTCCCCAGTCCCCACCTCTTTCAAAGGTTTTGTAGTTCTGAAAGTGTTCGCTTGTAATATAGGATACATTTTGTTAACGAAATGATTCAATACACCAAATTTTGGCAAATTTTGGCAAATGTACCCATTTGCTTTCAACAGCAATTTTGCTTTAAGATCTTGCCATCCTGCATTTCTGACCTGAATATAATTTTTTTTGTAAATTTCATGTATTTTTTCTCCTAGAGTTTATGGTTTGTGCCTATTTTGCTGCTGCTTCATTATATGATTATAACGTGAAAAATTCATTGATTTTGGAAGTCAACATATTTGTTCCCCATTTTTTTGTTCAATTCCAAATGTTTGGCAATTTTTGATTTCAGTTTTGTCATTGTTTTTTATCAACTTATATTGCAGCCCTGAAAAGCATCAGAGTTGTTCTATTTTGTGTTTGCAGCTACCTGAGATTTTAGTGGTTGTTTTCTGATATGGAAGAGTTTTCTTGTAGCACCTATGGGTGTTTGACTCACAGATGATGCTTTCTCTTCCAGGGTTGGCTTCAATTCGGTGTACCATCTCACTGACTTGCCCTCTTTTATAAGTGGCAAATATGTGGTAATATTTGATCCTCAAGGAGTTTACCTCCCAAATATCTCCGCTGCAAATCCTGGAAAGAGAATTGAGTTTGTTAGTTCTTCAGCCATCTTCATGTACAAAGACCAGTTTTCTCCATATTGTGGTTATGGTTGCGATATGAAAAACCCTTTCCGTGGAACTTTTTTTCGTTTCCCTTTGAGAAATGCTGATCAGGCAGCCAATAGTAAGCTCTCCAAGCAATCATACAGTGAAGATGACATCAGTTTGATGTTTGATCAACTATATGAGGAAGGAGTCTTCTCACTACTTTTTCTTAAAAGTATACTGTCAATAGAAATGTGTGTTTGGGATGATGACATGCCTGAGCCTAGGAAGATATATTCTTGCTCCATCAACTCAGTGACAAAAGATATAATTTGGCACCGCCAGGCACTACTGAGACTGTCAAATCCAACAGACTCCCACGACTCTGAAATGGATGCATTTTCACTGGAGTTCTTAAGTGAGGCAATGCAGGGGAATCATTCTGACAAGAGAACTGACACTTACCATATAGTGCAAACAATGGCATCAACATCCAGTAGGATAGGTTCTTTTGCTGCAACTGCAGCAAAGGATTTTGACATTCACCTGTTGCCTTGGGCATCTGTTGCTGCATGTGTTTCAGATGATTCATCTAATGTAACTTCTTGTTCTTATGCTTAGATTGTCCTTGCTTCCTTGAATTACCATTCCTTTTCTGGTTTTGATAAGTGCTCATCCTGAGAATGTGCCCTACCTCTGCCATATCCCATGCTTTGAGTATTTCCTTATAAATAAAGAGAAGGAAATATGAATGAATTTAGAGTTTTTTAATCAGATGAGCTTTCACTTTAATGTCAATGCCTTTTTTCTTCTTTTCATATGATATATAGAAACATATCTTGTTAATTTTTCAAGTTTTACTATTTTGTGAACACTTGCCTGCCTCTTGGAATATCTTGACTGTGTATAAAGTGCAAATTACTGAATCAAGTTTGATGTAGTGCTTATACTAATGGAATCATGCATTGGTTCTTGCATTAAAGGATCATAATTTTTGATCAAAGGCAGGCTATACTGGTAGCTGATCTATTTGACACATAAGTTATACTATGTAGTTAGGTATGCTTATGCGGATACTATGTGTGCATCCAGTGTGACAGGAGGAATGCCTTTCTGCATCTGTGACTTGCAATCTCGACAGTGGTTAATTTTTATTTCTCTTTCCCCATTTCCTGTAACCCTTCCGCCCCCAAAGGAGAAAAAAGAGACATTTTCTGTTGCTCTCATGATTTTGATGTTCTTTTGACTTTGTATCTCTCAGGATAATGTTTCTAAAGTGGGCCAGGCATTCTGTTTCCTCCCTTTACCTGTCAAAACTGGATTAAATGTGCAAATTAATGGATACTTTGAGGTGTCGTCTAATCGTCGTGGGATTTGGTATGGAGCTGACATGGACAGGTCTGGGAGAATACGTTCGGTCTGGAATAGGCTTCTCTTAGAGGATGTTATAGCTCCTACTTTTTCTTATTTACTGCTTGGTGTGCAGCACTTACTTGGGCCAACAAACTCGTATTACTCATTGTGGCCAACTGGTTCTTTCCAAGAGCCATGGAATATTTTAGTTGAGTGCATTTATAGAAGTATCAGTGACTCTCCCGTGATGTACTCAGAGGTTCAAGGAGGGACATGGATTTCACCAGCTGGAGCTTTTCTTCATGATGTGGAATTTTCAAGTAAAAGTAAGCAAATCAGTGAGGCTCTTGTACAGCTAGGAATGCCTGTGGTTCAGTTGCCAAATAGCCTATTCAATATGTTCTTAAATTCTGCTTCTGGCGTACAGCATAAAGTGGTTACTCCTGATTCAGTACGCAACTTTCTTAGAGGTAGAAGTTCTACAAGTGTAATCGACAGATCCTCTAACCTTATGTTGTTGGAGTATTGCCTTGAGGACCTGGTTGATGATGATGTTGGTAAACATGCACTAAACTTGCCTCTGCTTCCTTTGGCAAATGGTGACTTTGGATCATTGTCCGAAGCTTCAAAGGGTATCTCTTACTTTATTTGCAATGACTTGGAACATTTGCTGCTTCAACAAATCTCAGAAAGATTGATTGATAAGAATATCCCTCCCAACATATTGAGCAGATTGTTAGCTATTGCAAGGGTTTCTGGAGCAAATATAAAAGTATTCAATCTGAATGAGTTTCTTTTATTATTTTGTAAATTTGTGCCTGCTGGATGGAAATATCAAATGGAAGTCCATTGGGATCCAAGTACAAACTCCAATCATCCAGCTACATCATGGTTTGTGCTGTTGTGGCGCTATCTTAACAATCAATGTGAAAAGTTGTCCTTATTTGGTGAGTGGCCAATCTTGCCATCACTTTCTGGGCATTTGTATCGACCATGTAGGGAGATAAAATTATTGTGTGTAGACAAATTGTCTGAGAAGATGCAAAATCTCCTCGTTAAGATAGGATGTAAGATACTAAACAGCAATTATGGCATTGATCATCCTGATTTATTTCACTATATGTATGATGCTGATGGAGTTGGTGTTTTGAAGTCTATATTTGATGTGTTTACTTCAAGTGACAGCATTGAACAAGTATTCCTCCAGTGTTTGACAGCAGAAGAGAGAGATGAACTACGCCATTTTCTTCTGGATCCAAAATGGTACATTGGTAACTTTATGGATGATTCTGACATATTGGATTGCAAGAGGTTGCCTATATACAGTATGCATGGTCAAGGATCCACTGAAAATCTTCCGTATTCAAACCTGCTGAATCCTCAAAAGTACTTGCCCCCTTTGGATTGTCCTGAGAACCTCCTTTCTAATGAATTTGTCTCTAGTTTGTCAAGTACCGAAGAGGAGGTGCTGAATAGATATCATGGTATTCAAAGAATGAGCAAGGCACAGTTTTATAGCCAACACGTGCTAAACAGGGTAAGGGAGTTGGAAACTGATGTGCGTGACAGCATTATGCTTTCAATTCTCAAACAGCTGCCTCAATTGGGTGTAGAAGATGCATCTTTTAGGGAACATCTTAGTAATTTGGAATTCCTTCCTACATCTAGTGGTTCTTTGCGAAGTCCATCCATGTTGTATGATCCCAGGAATGAAGAGTTATATGCTTTATTGGACGACTCTGAGAGCTTTCCATGTGGTGTTTTTGAGGAATCAGATGTTTTAGATATGCTGCAAAGTTTGGGTCTTAAGACAACTATTTCTACTGAGACAATATTACGAAGTGCTAGGCAAATTGAACGGTCAATGCATAGCAGTCCACAAAATGCTCATTCAAAAGGTAAAGTGCTTCTTTCATATCTAGAAGTGCATGCCATGAAATGGTTACCTGAGTCGACCAAGAATGACCAACGAACCGTAAATAGAATTTTGTCAAGAGCTACAAGTGCATTTAAACATCGTCATGCCACATCTGACTTTGAAAAATTCTGGAATGATCTCCGAATGATTTGTTGGTGCCCAGTTCTTGTCTCTTCTCCATATCAGTCTTTACCATGGCCTGCTGTCTCATCTATGGTTGCCCCTCCTAAGCTTGTAAGGCTTTACTCAGATTTGTGGCTTGTTTCTGCTAGCATGCGGATATTGGATGGAGAGTGCTCTTCCTCAGCATTATCACAATATCTTGGTTGGTCTTCTCCACCTGGGGGAAGTGTAATTGCTGCACAATTGCTTGAGCTTGGGAAAAATAATGAACTTGTTACTGATCTGGTGCTTCGGCAGGAATTGGCCTTGGCAATGCCTAGAATATACTCAATATTAAGTGGCATGATTGGTTCAGAGGAAATGGACATTGTAAAGGCTATTCTAGAAGGTAGCCGATGGGTTTGGGTTGGAGATGGCTTTGCGACCTTGGATGAGGTTGTGCTTGATGGTCCTCTTCATTTGGCTCCTTATATACGAATAATTCCTTGTGACTTGGCTGTTTTCAGGGACCTATTTTTGGAGCTTGGCATTCGAGAATTCTTGAACCCCAGTGATTATGCTCATATTTTGTTTAGGATGGCCACTAGGAAGGAGTCCTCCCCTCTTGATCCCCAGGAGATAAGGGCTGCCATTCTCATAGCGCAACATCTGGCTGATAGTCAGTCTTATGATGATCATATTAAGATCTATCTTCCGGATATGTCATGCAGACTTCTTAATGCTGCAGATTTGGTCTATAATGATGCTCCATGGTTACTGGACTCAGAGGATTCTGAGAGATCTATGGGTAACACAACAAATATGTCTTTACATGTAAAACAAATTGTTCAAAAGTTTGTGCATAGGAGCATATCTAATGATGTAGCAGAGAGGCTTGGTGTGCGCTCTCTTCGGAGAATGTTGCTCGCAGAGAGTGCTGACTCTATGAATTTGAGTTTGTCTGGTGCTGCTGAAGCATTTGGGCAGCATGAAGCGCTAACAACCAGGCTTAGACATATACTGGAAATGTATGCTGATGGGCCTGGTATTTTGTTTGAGCTGGTTCAGAATGCAGAAGATGCAAGAGCTTCCCAAGTGACTTTTTTGTTGGATAAAACTCAATATGCAACTTCATCTGTTCTTTCTCCTGAAATGGCAGATTGGCAGGGCCCTGCTTTGTATTGTTTCAATGACTCTGTTTTCAGTCCTCAAGATTTGTATGCAATTTCACGTATTGGTCAAGAGAGTAAGCTGGAGAAGCCATTTGCAATTGGAAGGTTTGGACTTGGATTTAATTGCGTTTATCACTTTACAGATGTTCCATCTTTTGTTTCAGGGGAAAATATTGTCATGTTTGATCCTCATGCCTGTAATTTACCTGGAATTTCTCCTTCGCACCCTGGGCTGCGGATTAAGTTTGTTGGTAGAAGGGTTTTGGAACAATTTCCTGATCAATTTTCTCCATTTCTACATTTTGGTTGTGATTTGAAGCAATCATTTCCAGGCACTCTGTTCCGCTTTCCTCTGAGGAGTGCTACCATGGCTTCCAGAAGCCAAATAAAGAAAGAAGACTACACGCCAAATGATGTATTGTCGCTCTTTTCTTCTTTCTCAGAAGTTGTTTCTGAGACTTTGGTTTTTCTACGCAATGTGAAGACAATATCCATTTTTGTCAGAGAAGGGTCTGGTACTGAAATGCAATTACTGCATTGTGTTCGCAAGCATCATGTGAGTGAGTCTGAAGCTGAAAGCAGTCAAATTTTTAATGTTATGTATGGAAATCAGCAAAACTTATTTGATAGAGGTCAGTTCCTTGACAAATTGAGCAAGTCCATAGGAGCTGAGTTGCCATGGAAGTATCAGAAGATTGTCATTTCAGAACAGAGCACATCTTCTCGAAAGTCACATTTGTGGCTAACTTGTGAATGCTTGGCTAGTATTCATGGAAATAATAACTCTTCAACCTCTGATATGAAGTTTCATAAGTATGTTCCCTGGGCTTGTGTTGCTTCTCATTTGAAGAGTGTAAACATTGAGAGAGAGTTGAGTGAAAATGCCATAGATCCTGGTGAGATTTTTCACATTACTCCTGACTTAATTCAGGTACCAATAAGTACAACACAGGACAGAAAAATTTTTGATGGTCGTGCCTTCTGTTTCTTGCCACTTCCAATAAATACTGGTCTTCCTGTGCATGTCAATGCATATTTTGAATTGTCTTCAAATAGAAGGGATATATGGTTTGGAAATGACATGGCAGGGGGTGGAAAGAAACGGTCTGATTGGAACATGCATCTCCTTGAAGATGTGGCGGCCCCAGCTTATGGTCGGTTACTTGAAATAGTTGCACAAGAAATTGGCCCTTGTGATTTGTATTTTTCATTTTGGCCAACAGCGGTAGGAGTTGAACCTTGGGGACTACTGGTCCGGCGGCTTTATGACTTTATTTCAGAATTTGAACTTCGTGTATTATATACAAGGGCCAGGGCCAGAGAGGGGCAATGGATCACAACAAAGCAAGCTATTTTTCCTGATTATTCTTTTGAGAAAGCAAGTGAACTCGTGGATGTCTTGTCAGATGCTGGATTACCTGTGGTAATGATGCCTAAGGTACTCGTCGAGAAATTTATGGAGATCTCCTCATCTTTGCATTTTCTTACACCCCAATTACTGCGGAGATTGTTAATTCGGAGGAAACGTGAATTCAGGGATAGAAGTGCAATGACCTTGGCCCTTGAATACTGCTTGCTGGATCTTAAATCCCCCATTCAATCTGATGATTTCTATGGTCTACCACTAATACCACTTTCTGATGGGTCATTTACAAAATTAGAGAAGAGGGGGCTAAGTGAACGAATTTTCTTTGCACAAGGTGCTGGGTATGACCTTCTGAAGGATTCAGTGCCTCATCAACTTGTTGACTGCAACATTCCTGATTTCCTCCATAAGAAGTTCTGTGATATAGCTGAGAGTGAGGATTTTAATATATCTTTTTTGACATGCCCGTTGCTTGAGAAACTATTTCTGAGATTACTTCCTGCAGATTGGCAGCATGCTAGACAGGTGATTTGGATTCCTGGATCTGAAGGTCATCCTAGCCTGCAATGGATGGGCCATCTATGGAACTATCTGAAGTCATTTTGTGATGACCTCTCTTTGTTTTATAAGTGGCCCATCTTGCCAGTTGAAAATAATCATCTCTTGCAGCTTGTTAAGAATTCTAATGTAATCAAAGATGGTGGGTGGAGTGAGAACATGTGCACTTTGCTGCTCAGAGTAGGTTGCTTGATATTGAGGCGTGACCTCCTGATAGAACATAGAGAGCTGAATGATTATGTGCAGCCTCCAACTGCAGTAGGCATCTTAAGTGCTTTCGTAGCAGTTGCTGGTGATCCATCTAATGTTGAGGCACTGTTTAGTGGTGCATCAGAGGGGGAACTGCATGAACTCAGGAGTTACGTTCTTCAGTCTAAGTGGTTCTTTGAAGATGTATTGGATAGCACTCATATAAATATCATTAAGGACATTCCTATGTTTGAGTCATACAAGACTAGAAAGCTTATATCCCTGAACAAATCTTTCAAATGGCTTAAACCAGATGGTGTTCATGAGGATCTTTTGGGTGAAGGTTTTGTGAGAATGGATTCAGATAAAGAAAAAATTATTTTGAAAAAGTATCTGGAGGTCACAGAGCCTTCAAAAGTAGATTTCTACAAGGAATATGTATTCCATCACATGCCAGAATTTTCCCGTGATGGATATCTTCCGGCCATTTTACATGATATAGGATATATGCTTGTAGATGACAAGTCCTTCCAAGAAGCTCTTTCAAAGATAGCATTTGTTCTAGCATATGATGGATCTTGGAAGGAGCCATTCAGGTGGATGTCTATTTATTGCTTTGTTGTTGAGGAATTCAAATTTATATTTCAGTATGTACATGCACTGGTTATCGTTGGTGTTGCCCAATTCTCCCTTTAACTTGGAAGATGTTGCTCTTCATGAAGTTACGTGCCCATGGAAGAAGCATTTCTGTAATGACCCATGTTTGCTCCTGCTGAACTAGGCTAAGAAAGACAGAATGGAAGCCTGTCTTAGGAAGGTTTTTGGGGTAAACTTAGAAGTCTGCTAATATTCTGCATATACTGTTTGGCTTTTTGTTTCCTTTGGGACTTGGTGTGAGGATAGCATGGCTCACTCATATGATCACTGTTGCTGCCAGATTGGGGAAATGAAAACTTTCAAAATGTCCAGGAGGCCACTAAAAATACTGGGACCTTCCACAAAAAAAAAAGTAAATTAATAAATAAAATGAAAATGAAAACGAAAAATAGAATAAAATATAATAAAATAATGGGATTTAATGACTTAAATGTTTTGAAATTTGGGGGTGCAAAAGCATATTGGTGCTATATGATTTCATTTCTGCATTTTTGGGTTTCTGATGAAGCATAAAGATATGGTGATGTAAGTCTGACTCTTTTTTCACCCAACACATGCATCTTTTTTAAATCTATTGCAGCAACTTAAAGAGATTGAAGAAGGTATCCAGTGATAGCATGAATTAGGAAGAGTTCTGTTTCTTTCTGTTTGCATGAGAACCATTTTTGTTGGGTGCACTCACCCACCTGGCAATATTTTTTGTGATTTAAACTAGGTTATTGCTTGAATATGCTGTGAAATCATTGTTACCTATCTGATTAAGTGGGTGGAGGTGTGGAGTGTAAGTCGTGACTTGTGAGCAACCCTTTTTCATGAATTGGCTTTGTCATTTCTGACAAATAGGACTGTTTAGTTGACCTGTTTAATAATTTAAGCATCATCAGTAGTGAATACTTTATTAAAAAAGTCTGGGTCTATTTGGATTGAGATTTTTTCCCTAAAAATTTTTCGTTGCATCATAAACATGTTTTCCAACTACCTTTTTTATCTCACATACATCACATCCTAAAAAGTGCTAGAGTATTATTCCCAAACAATTTTTCCGAAAACCCTTCAATCCAAGCAGACCCTCAGTCTCAAAAGATAAAATTTTCATGCATGTGAATGTGCAAATATGTTCTGATGTTTGGATATATTACATTTTGCAGGCTTTATGATCCTCGTGTTCCATATCTAAAAGTATTGCTGCATAGAGGTGCTTTCTTCCCATCGGACCAGTTTTCCCACCCTGAAACATTGGAGATTCTGATAAAACTTGGACTCAGGCAAACTTTAAGCTTTACAGGTATGCTCGACTGTGCCACGTCTATTTCCATGTTGCACAGTTCAGGAGACAAAGAAACAACTGTATGTGCTAGGAGGCTTTTGCGTTGCTTAGATACTGTGGCACAGAAGCTCTCATCTGCAGAAGAGGAAGGCACTTTTGGGGAATGTGAAATGCATATGGAAAGTCAGGATATCAGTTACATTGGTGGTGAGGGAGAGAAATCTTTGCCAGATGATTCTGACAATCTTGTTGGAGATTCTATGGACATCAATATGCCTCTCAGTAACTTGAATGAAGACATGCCTAGGGAAAAGTTTTGGTCTGAATTGAAGTCCATAAGTTGGTGTCCTGTGCTTGATAAGCCTCCTGTACGAGGACTTCCATGGTTAGCAGCTGAGGAAAAAATAGCAACTCCAACTGCTGTGAGACCAAAATCCCAGATGTGGCTGTCTTCATCTAAGATGTTTATCCTTGATGGTGAATGTTCTGTTTACCTACAAGATAGACTTGGTTGGATGGATAGCTTGGATGTAGCAACTCTGTCTGCCCAATTAGTTGGGCTGTCAAAGTCTTTTTCTCTGCTCAAGTTGCATTCAAATGTTGAACTTAATTTTGATGCAGAACTGCAGAAACATGTAATGGCAATTTATTCTCAATTGCAAGAGTATGTTGGGACTGATGAGCTAAGTTGTCTCAAGTCGTCATTAGATGGAATTTGCTGGGTGTGGATTGGAGATGATTTTGTTTCATCTACTTCACTTGCGTTTGATTCCCCTGTGAAATATAGTCCATACTTGTATGTTGTACCAACTGAGTTATCTGAGTTTAGGGATTTGCTTTTGGCATTAGGTGTCAGACTTAGTTTTGATGTTTCTGACTATTTTCTTGTTATAGAAGGCTTAAAAAATGACGTGAAAGGTTTTCCTCTTTCAACTGATCAACTGAGATTCGTCCAATGTGTACTCGAAGCTATTGCAGACTGTTATTTGGATACTCTTCAATGTGAGGCGTCTACTGATTTATTCATTCCAGATTCTTTTGGGGTTCTTGTAAGTGCTGGAGAGCTTGTTTACAATGATGCTCCATGGATGGAGAATACCAGTCTTGGTGGGAAACATCTTGTACATCCATGTATCAGCCATGAATTGTGTAGCAGATTGGGCATTCAATCACTTCGTTGCATTTCTTTAGTTGGCGACGACATGACAAAAGATTTGCCATGCATGGATTATTCTAGAATATGTGAGCTTCTAGAGTTGTATGGAAGTAAAGATTTCCTTCTGTTTGACCTCCTTGAGATGGCAGATTGCTGCAAAGCGAAAAAGCTTCACCTAATTTTTGACAAGAGGGAACATCCACGTCTATCCCTGTTGCAGCACAATTTAGGTAATAAACTATCTTTTTAAAAAATATATATATATATATGTTGGAATAGATATGTAATGATCAGGATTGTGAAAGATGGAATTAAGTCTTTCAGGTTGATTATGTTCTTGGTTAAACTAGGATAGACCTGGAGAGCTATAAAAATCTTTTGGCTTATAATTCCATGAAGTTTTAATCAGAGTGGTTATAGATCTCATACTCCCCATGGAAAAGATACCTTTCATCGTATTGCTACAAATCATATTCTTTTTTTCTTTTTCGTCTTCAAATTATGTCATCTACCATTTGAACAAGAGTTAACTACTCAGTGCTTTGGTAGTACATCTTTCACCCATTTTTGGAAATAATGGACCAACTAATGTTGACAAATAGCTGGAAAGCTATATGCATGTCAAACCACCTGTACATCTTTCACTAATTTGTGTCCATTTCCTTTCTTGTGATGTTTATAGGTTCTGGCTGTGAAATCAAAGAAATTTTGAATTTCTTCACATTAAATAAGTAGGTTGATGGAGTGAAGTTAATTTAGCATGAAATAGAGTTTTAGAAGTTTAGATTGAATGTACTTCATAAGCTGTTAGGTCTCCTAATGTGAAGGTGGAGCAAGAGTGTTTTTATGGAGAAAGCAAGCTGCATGGGTCCTGTACCCAGGAGTATTACCTGCAGTTGTCTAGTGGATGGGGTAGGATATAGGTTCATCAGGAAGAGGGAATTTTTTTCTTTAGGCATTTTTCACTTAGGTTCATTGAGTAGCTTTACTGCATCAGGTTTCCTGCTGCTTCAAACTTGCTCGTTGGACTGTTATTTGCAGGTGAATTTCAAGGTCCTGCTCTGCTAGCCATTCTGGAAGGGGCCAGCTTAAGCAGAGATGAAGTGGCTAGCCTCCAGTTTCTTCCGCCATGGAGTCTGCGTGGTGATACACTGAATTATGGCTTAGGATTGCTTAGCTGCTTTGCAATAAGTGATCTCCCATCAGTTGTTTCTGATGGCTGCTTGTACATGCTTGATCCTCGAGGTTTAGCTTTTGCGATTCCTTCAAATCATGCACCTGCTGCAAAAGCTTTCTCTCTTAAAGGTGATCAGCTTCCACATCTTTTCTTCTTGATAATGTATGTGCCTGGTTGGTCATGGTACTATTTGTAATCATAGGAAGTTTTGAATTCCCAGTCTCTGCAGCATTGATGTCGATAGGGAAGTCTATTGAAGTGGATTTCTTATCATTAGTTATTGATGCCTAGATGACGTTATTTAAGGATGATAGGTACGACCAAATGCTGATTAACTAAATATATGCTTATGTTGGATTAACTGAAATGCTTAATGGTGTTTCTTTAGGTTTTGGTGTTCCTTGTTAATGCACCCACCTTTTCAGATGTTAAAGGATGTGTTGGTTCTGTGAAGTATAGTTTCTTGTGTAAATATTTGAGTTACACTTTCTAATTACTTGAATTCCTTGATTTGCAAGGTAAAAAAATAAAGGATATAGAATGCATTGGGGTTTCCATCTCTTTGCCTATAATCAGCAACACACTCTCATATCTATGCTATTTGTATTTTTGAACTAAAATATATTTGTTAGATTGAAAAATCAAGGTAAAAAAATATAGAATGCATTGGTGTTTCCATCTCTTTGCCTATAATCAGCAACACACTCTCATATCTGTGCTATTTGTATTTTTGAACTAAAATATATTTGTTAGATTGAAAATTGTTTTACTTCTTTTTTAGATTGAGAGTGTGTTGCATATGAAGGAATGTAGGAAAATAGAAATGTAGTAAAATAAAGGAAGCTAAAACACTTGCTTGTGCACACATTGCAGATAGTCCTTTTTCAGAAGGCATCTCTGAATGGAGGTGCTTCAATGATGGAGATCTAGACCAGGACATCTAGACCCATTTAAACAAATTTCAACTATGACATGGACTCGATGAATACTGCAATAAAGCATATGAAAATCACATTTCTCTGTTAGATTTCTTTCATATACATTCCCTATTTTTAATCAGCAGTGTGTCACACAGCTAATTAATCAGTTGAATTGTATACCAACGTTCAATCTTAATTTAGACAAAGAAAAACAAATTTCTTTGATTAAACTCAATAATTTTATGCAAGTACATATGCCTCGTATTATCTCCTTAATACGTTTATCTGACTGAAACACAATGAAATCTGTTATATCATTTCTGGAAAAGGAAGTAAAAGGAAGTTTAAACCTGAATACTTGTTCTTGTGGGGCCTTTTAGAGTGTCCATTATTAAAGTGGTGCAAAGTGATTCATTTGTAGTTAAGCCTTTATCTCATTTCAACATAATATTGGAGTTTTCCAACCAAACCTCTCTTCATAGGACCTAATTGATGCCTGCATTTGTGGTATAGTATTGCAGGAAATTACCAACTATTATATCAAATGTTAAGACAAGATAGTGACATATGAAATCAGCATAGTAGTAATGATTATCTATTCTTTCAACCCCTATCATGAAATGTTGTTATGAATTATTTCCACAAGCATAATGTACACTTTTCATCGTTCATTGTTTCTCTTTAATTTGGTTGTGTCTTTTCAAGCTTTTAGTTAATATTTGGCTTAGCTGCTGTGGAAAAAGTTTGTAAAGCACTATATGGAAGTAGGGAAAGCATGAACTCTTTATTACATTATACGACTTTTAGTAAGAGCAGATCCTTATGCTGCCAATTATCCAGCAGAAATCTAGCAACCTAAATGTAAAATGTATTAAGTCCAAATGTTTTGTCACAATTAAAAACTTTTTTTAGAGTTATAAAAAGGAGCAGGATCTACAAATCAACTGGAAAATGTTATCTTGTAAGTTGTGATAAAAGAATACAAGGAGAATACAAATTAGTTGTATGTAAAGCTGGCAAGTTGGCTGTCGAGATTTAAGAAAGCTGTAGATCTAATTTTTACCAGGCTATTTTTAAGCTGTTGAGTATTAAGAGAGAGAGAGAGAGAGAGAGAGAGAGAGAGAGAGAGAGAGTCCAACAAATGCAGAGGCAAAAAGAGGCTCTTTTGGAGTGTGGAGGGTTGTTTGGGATGTGTGTGATTAAAATTGTTTTCTGAACTCCTTCAAATTAGTCAAATGGTCTACAATCAGAGTGAATGAATGAGACTGGGGATTTCTGTGTGCATCCTAATGGATAAGGTTGAGGTCTGATGGATAGATCATCTGTTTTGGGCTTCTGCCCTTATGTTTGGCAAGCGTCATCATCTTTAGAGGCTGTCAGTAAGTGGAGAATTCTGTGGTGTAAGATAGCATACCTTAGTATTGGGGTAAAGTAAAATGCTTCATTGAGATTGCTTATGCAAGCCAGTGCAGACCTTACTATTTTGGTAAAATAAAATGCTTGATCAAGATTGCTTATATAAGCATCTACACTTCCTTAAAAGGGGTAATGCTGCAGCTGTCAAATTAACTTGCCCCTCTTGGTTTACAGCAGCAAGGGTTGGATGGTAGTTTTAATTGACCTATAGGATCTTTGACACTGTATTGTATTTTTATGATGATTAACATATAGGGATATCGATGCGTTATTGGGGCCAAACCTTGATGATGAATATTTCTGAATATTGTGGGTTAACAATACCAAGTTTCTAATGAAGCAGGTTGGAAGTATTGCAACAGCAAATTGAAAAATCTGCATAAGGAAAAAAGCATTATTTTGAATAAACTGAATAACAATCATGAAATTTTTCTTTAATTTTTGTTATATATATATATTTTATTTCCACTTACCATCATCTTACTTTCCCATGGACATCTTATTCTTTTTCTTGTACCCACTTCTTTTACATGATGGGAACAGATATTCATGTTTTCTATCTGTGACAAGTCTGCTAAATTTATATTTGGTTCCAGGCACCAATTTGACAGAGAGATTTCATGATCAATTTAGTGCTTTGCTGTTTGGCCAAAGCATGTCATGGTCGGTATCTAATTCAACAATCATACGCCTGCCTCTTTCATCAGAATATATGGAAGAGGGAACTGAATGTGCTTCGAGGAAGATATCACTGTTATTCGACAAATTTGTGGAGCATTGTTCGAGGACTATCCTGTTTTTAAACTCCATAATGCAGGTTTGTAGATATCAATGTTTCAGGTTAAGATACTATTTCCCAGCTTTTGATTTTCATGTGGAACAGTATATTTCTTTTCTTAGGCTTTTAGTTGTCTGAGTGGGAAAAGTTTTGTAGCATAGTGATAGAAGTTGAGGCCAAGTATTCAAATAAGAAAAAATTTGCTGGTTGCATTGGATTCATAGAAGGTTTTGATCTTTGTGTTTTGGCTTTAATTTATAATTACTGCCTTTCAGACTTGTTCGAACTAGGGAGCATAAGAAGCAAGGGAAATTACACGGTGTTTACCTCTTCCATTTTCTGAGTTCTTATAGTCTCTTCATAGTATACTGAAAAGCATTTCACCATGAAAAGACAAAACATCACAAATATAATATGATCTACTCCCTCCGTCCCAAAATAAGGGACGTTTTTGGGGATTCTAACTTATTATGCACAGTTCAATCAATTTGAATGTGAGACATTTTTTTCCAATCGTGCCCCTTTGACCGATATCAAATCTTAATTGCTGTCTATGGTGATGTGAAAAGAATCTGTGGGTCCATGTAAAATGTAAGCTCTTTTTCATGCTGTTGCCAAGCACGCGCCTATTTATGGCCATCAAAATTTTTGGTGCTGTCCACGCACCTTTTTTTTGGATGTCTATTTATTGCTTTTGTGGGTTCCATCATACTTGTTTTTTATTTTATCAATGTCTCTTTTGAGGCTACAAATGGAATTGTCAACAGGTATCTTGGAAGGAAAACATCTAGTCACAGTATTATGAGTGACCAACTAGTATTTATAGGAGTACAAACCTAACAAACTATTTACAAGAATACCCTTACTAATTTATTATCTACAAGGATACTTATATTCTCTTAACACTCCCCCTCAAGTTGGAGCATATATATCATAAGTACCCAACTTGTTACAAATGTATTTCACCCTAGAACCCCCTAAACTCTTGGTAAACACATCAGCCAACTGATCTACAGACGGTACATGAGATGTCTTGATGACCCCGTCAAGCAATTTCTCTCGAATGAAATGACAATCAACTTCAATATGTTTTGTCCTTTCATGAAACACTGGATTAGACGCAATATGAACAGCCGCCTGATTATCACACATTAAATTCATAGGCTGTTTATGCTCAAACCCAAGTTCAAGTAACATGCTCTTCAACCAAACCAACTCACACAGTGTGAGCCATAGCGCGGTATTCAGATTCTGCACTTGATCTGGATACAACTGTTTGCTTCTTACTCTTCCACGACACTAAATTACCACCAACAAACACACAATATCCTGTAGTCGATCTTCGATCTGAGGCAGAACCAGCCCAATCTGCATCACTATATCCTTCAATATCAGTGTGTCCATGATTTTGATATAGCAACCCTTTTCCAGGAGCACTCTTAAGATACCTGAGAATCCGTATAACAGCATCCCAATGACTAGTACGAGGGGTATCAAGAAATTGACTCACAACACTCACTGCAAACGAAATGTCAGGTCTCGTTACAGTGAGATAATTTAATTTACCCACAAGTCTTCGATATTGCTTAGGATCATCAAGTAATGCACCTTGATCTCCTGCTAATTTCACATTGGGATCCATAGGAGTATCCACAGGTCGGCAACCTAACATCCCAACTTCACTCAACATATCGAGTACATATTTTCTTTGACATAAATAAATCCCATATTTAGACCGAGCTACCTCAATACCCAGAAAATACTGTAGATGACCTAAATCCTTTGTCTGAAAGTTTGCCTGCAGATTGGATTTAAGTTTCTGGATCCCCACAACATCATCACCTGTAATCACAATGTCATCCACATAAACAACTAATAAAATTTTACCAGCATTAGAATGCCGATAAAATACAGAGTGATCTACTCCACATCTTGTCAGACCGAACTCCATGACAACACTACTAAACCGGCCAAACCAAGCCCTCGGAGACTGTTTCAATCCATATAAGGATTTTTTCAAACGACAAACCAACCGCGAATTCTCCCCCTGAACAACAAATCCAGGAGGTTGTTCCATATATACCTCTTCTTCCAAATCGCCATGCAGAAATGCATTTTTCACATCCAATTGATGCAATGGCCAATTATAAGTTGCTGCCAAAGAGATAAGAAGACGAACAGAGGTAATCTTTGCAACAGGAGAAAATGTTTCTAAGTAGTCTACTCCATACACCTGAGTAAATCCTCTAGCTACCAGACGAGCCTTCAATCTATCAATAGAACCATTAGGCTGCACTTTTATAGTGTACACCCATTTACAACCAACAACAGGCTTACCTGAAGGACGAGGGACAAGATCCCAAGTACCATTTTGTTCCAAAGCAGACATCTCTTCTTGCATAGCTAATCTCCAACCAGGATGATTAAGAGCATAGGTAATAGACTTAGGAATGGAAATAGAATCAAGGGAAGCAACAAAAGAAGAATATGACATAGAGAGACGAGAATAAGAAACAAAATTAGAAATAGGATGGGAAGTACAATGTCTCTTACCTTTGCGTAAAGCAATAGGAAGATCTAACTCAGAAGAGGGCGTCATACCTGGATTTGAAGATTGAGAGTTAATTGGTGAAGTGCGTGGCATATCAGGAACTTTCTCAACCATGGAACGACGAGAGTAAACTTGAAGATGAGGACGAGATAATCGAGCTATGGAATCTGGGGACTAGATAACTCAGGTAATAAAGGGGAAGGGACTGGTAAAACAGGAGAGGAAAAAGAGGGACACTGGTCTAACTCACAAGACATACTTTGTTTGATAAAATATGGAGTGGATTCAAAGAAAGTAACATCAGCACAAGTAAAAAATCGATTTAAAACTGGACTGTAACATCTATACCCTTTTTGCGCTCGTGCGTATCCTAAGAAAATACACTTAATAGCACGAGAATCTAATTTATCCACCCCGGGAGCAAGCTGATGAACAAAGCACACACATCCAAAAATACGAGGAGGCAATTTAAACACAGGTTCATGAGGAAAAAGAATGGAGTGAGGTAATTGACCTCCAAGAATATTAGATGGCATGCGATTAATTAAATAACATGCAGTTAGAACTGCATCACTCCAAAATTGTTTGGGCACATTCGTGTGCAACAACAATGTTCGAGCAATTTCGATTAAATGTCCAATTTTTCTTTCAGCAACTCCATTCTGTTGTGGAGTGTGAGGACAAGAGGACTGATGAATAATACCAGACTTAGTCATAAAGGTATTAAAAGGAGTGAAAAAATATTCTTTCGCATTATCACTGCGAAGTATACGTACAGGCACACCAAATTGATTCTTTATTTCTGTAACAAATGCACAAAAAATGGAATATAATTCTGAACGATCTTTCATTAAATAAAGCCATGTAACTCTGGAAAAATCATCAACAAAAACTACAAAATATTTAAAACCTAACTTTGAAGTGACTCGACTAGGACCCCAAACATCAGAATGAACTAACAAAAATGGTTCAGAAACCCGTTTATTGACTCTAGGAGCAAAAGAAACACGATGATGCTTTCCTAGCTGACAAGACTCACATTCTAACGAAGATAATTGACTCAAAGTAGGAACCAACTTTTTCAAATTTTGTAAAGACGGATGACCTAAACGACAGTGAATTTCAAGAGGAGAAACAGTAGCAGGACATGCTATCGGACCATTGAAGTGGAGAAAGTAAAGACCATTATGCTCATGCCCTCCACCAATCGTCCTCTTTGTCTTCAAATCCTGAATGACAACAGAATCAGGAGAAAAAGTAACTGTGCACTGTAGAAATTTAGTGAGCTTACTAACAGACATTAAATTAAAGGGCAAATTGGGTACGTAAAGAACAGAAGACAGCGGAAGTGATGGATTAATTTCTACAGTGCCTAGTCCTTTAACTTTAGTGGTGGATCCATCAGCTAAAGTAACATGAGGAAAGGAAGTAGACTCTTGAAAATTAGAAAAAATTTTAGAGGTACCTGACATATGATCAGTAGCTCCGGAATCAATAATCCATGAGTCATTACCTTTTTGTGCTAAAGAAGCAGAGGGAAGAGATGCGTGATTTGTAGCTTGGTACCGTAGGAATTTAACATAATCTTTCTCAGATATAGTAACAGTTTTCTGGGATCCATGTGCTGAAAAACTTGATTCAACTTGGTCAGTGATAACCGTATTAACAAACCTTTCACCCATAGCGAATAGCACGTCAAACGAAAGAACAGGTCAAAACTTGAGCCGTGAACAGTAACGGCATGAACAGTAACGGCATGAACAGTGCCGTGAACAGTACGCGTGTACAGTGCTTTGCTAGATGTTTAACCCTAACCCTAGGACTTTTGCTCTGATACCATGTCAACAGGTATCTTGGAAGGAAAACATCTAGTCACAGTATTATGAGTGACCAACTAGTATTTATAGGAGTACAAACCTAACAAACCATTTACAAGAATACCCTTACTAATTTATTATCTACAAGGATACTTATATTCTCTTAACAGGAATGTTAGGAAAAAAAATTGTAGTGTGACTCAAATTTTGGGACATGAAAAAAGGTGAACTATGACAATAACAATGGGACGGAGGGAGTACTAAATATTACTTTGTAAAATGAATTTCATGGGCATCTGTCTTGATAAGAAACACATGCAGTTCAACTGATTTCTTCTTCCTTTGTCATTTTGTTTTGTTGTTGCAAACTTCTTTTCACTCACCCCAACGCTACCCTACCAGCTGGTTGGAGGACCAAAAGACTGTTAACAACCTATTGTCCATTCAAAAGGTGAAAAATTATGACTTGGTGCTGGATCATACCCCTATCTTACTGTTAATTGACAAGGTGGAAAGTCATCTGAAACAAATTAGTTGATGGTCACAAACTGTGATATTAATTTCTGTGGTAGTAATATTTTTCTTTAGAGGGCCAGTAATTTTTTATATGATTTTCTCAAGGTTTCTGTTAGCAGCATTGAAGTAGCAATATGCTTTTTGTAGGGGATCTGGACGATTAGTTGTGCTAATATGACCAAAAACATCAGGTTTGGATACAACGAGCAAGCTCTTCTATCCACACCTCTTTTACATCTTGAACCAATTTGCCAAATCGGACATTTCTGGTCCTCCTTACATGACAACATTTAGATCTAAAATCTGGCCAACCAAGAGCCAACACATTGGCATATATGAGACAAGAGGGAATAAACTTTTCAATCTTTTTTAGATGTTTACTTAAGTTTTCCCTGGCGTGAATTTCATTTTGGAGTTGAACTTCAGAGTGAGATCTTTATATCCTTTCTTCTGGATTTTAGGATTGTATGCCAATTGATTTTTCTACCACCTGATCTTTTTCATGTTATAAAATCTGTGGAGCATTTACTGAACTTCTAGCATTTGGGCTTGCCAAGTCTAATACTCTTAGCTTTACCTGGAAGGCTTTCAGTTTGCCTTTTCATTGCATATATTATGAGGAATTAAAATAGGTTTTGTCAGGTTTCATTGTCAACTTGGGAAGAAGGAAGCTTGGAATTATTTGAGGACTACTCAGTCAGCATTGATCCGTCCTGTGCCATTGTCAGAAATCCTTTCTCAGAGAAAAAGTGGAAAAATTTTCAATTTTCAAGTTTATTTGGTAGCTCAAATTCAGCAACTAAGGTTGAAGTCATCGATTTGAATTTGTGCATCAAAGGAACTATAGCTGTTGATCGTTGGCTCGTTGTGCTTAGTCTTGGTTCTGGGCAAACAAGAAACATGGCACTTGATAGGTATGTCAAAATTTCATTTGGATTAGACAACTTGAATCTAATTCTTTTTAGGGTAAAATACAAAAAACCCCTTGTGGTTTGCAAAAGTCAAGCCATCCTCTCATCATTCAAAAATACCCAGAAGACCCTCTTATGGTTTTTTCGAATGTGGAAAATGGATGGAAACTGTTATATTGACAGAATCATCTGAAATTCCAATGTTATCCTCATTTGGTAACTTTTTGTTTAAATCAGAATTGATCACATGTATATTCTATCCTCTTTATTTTTTGTTATTTCTGTTTTGCCCTTTGCTTCCCCATTTTTTATCCTTTATCCCCGACTTTATGGTGGAGAAGGAGTAACTGAATTCATAATTAGATTGTGTCCTGCTAAATAAACTCCACGTAAAAAATTTGCATAGGAAACATAGAATAGAACATACGCTACTAGTAGTGGTTGGGACATTTGGAGTCATAGGGGGGAAGAAATCAGAATAAGGCCATTGGATCCAATGTCCCCAGCAACCAGATAAGATATCAAAAGTGGTGGTGATGCCGTTTTACTTGTAAATCTGCAGCCAGATCTCTAAACTCTAACATCTAGCCACCCTATGCCACAATTTAGCCATTGCACTCCAGATATACTTTCCAATTTTGTTGGTTCATGGCGGCCCATGGGTGGTGGATAGATCACAAGGTGATAAGAAGGAAAGATAAAAATAAGAGAAAAAAGGCATGCACAGGTTCTACTCAATTATGGGTGGTGATACATGTCAGGTAGCATTTAGAAAGAAAAAGGAAAAAAAAATTCCAAAGCTCCTGTTGTCTTTGTGTTTTGCATCTTTGATTATCAATGACCATGACGCTTACTGTTCTCTAGTACCCCATCAAAAACATAATGGAAAAAGAAAAAGAAAGGTACTCCAGTGTTGGAGTAATGAACAAGGAAGAAGAAAAGGAAGAGAGAGTAGTTTGGGTAACTTGGTATCACTCTGGTAAAACACAAGGGAGACAAAATAGGGATTTCATATTTATTAATAATTTATTAGGATAAGGGTATTTTTGGAAGAAAGTTTAAATTTTAAATAATAAAAAACCTGTATCAGTAGTTCTCGCACTTAAGGCACACCCCTGTTTGGGAGAGGGGGGGATGTTGAACTACGTTATGTCTGATGGTTTTCGTCCATTTTCCACATTATTCGAAACCACAAGGGGTTCTTCTGGGTATTTTCATATGATAGGTGGTGGCCAGACTTTTGTGCAAACCACAAGGGTTTTTGTGTATTTCACCCTTCTTTTTATGTAGCATCCCCAAGTTGTATGCCTTTTTGCAATTTGAGTTACACCACCATTCCTTGGGAGTATCCATTACAGCGTTGTATTGCTGGTGAATTGGCTAGAACTACACTACAAAAGAAAAATTATTAGAAATAGAAAAAAAAACTATATATTGCTACTTACATTCCCCTCTTTTGATGCCAATTTTTTTCTTCTTTTATTTTTATTTTTGTTTGTTTTACCATAAGTAAAACTACCATGAAATGTTGGAGCGATTGAATGGGTGGATTCCTGCCCTTTTAAAAAAGATAAAGAAGAACAAGTATATGCACTAAGCATTTTATGAATCCAACAAAATCTCCAACTGGATTTATGTGGTGCTTGTGACTAGGTAATCATGTGTCAATGCATACTAGGGAATTACATGTACGGACTGCTACTTTACTTCTTTCTATTTTCCTAGGCTCCTTCTTTACTTAATTGATTGATGCTGATAAAAATAGGTCCAGATTTCTCACCATATGTATGAACTTGGGTATAAGCTAACAAAAATAAATGTGCATGTCAATGGAGTTATTCCCTTTTTATTTTTCTTTTAGCCAGGTTGCCAGTTGCATGAGTTTCAGCACTTTGTTTTATAATTAATTGTTGTTGTATGTTGAGGAATCTCAAAATTGAGAGCAATGATCTAAATCATGTTTTTAGCTCCCTAAATAGTTGCTTTCTATGTTCTTGGTGCTCCATGGAATTTTTTTTTTTGGAATGTCTTTCACAAATGTGTTTTATTGCATCATCAGATATGGTTGGTGATTATTACTAGTAGAGCCACATGGAAGTGTAAGTGTTTGCCTTACCTCAACTTCAAAAGAAATTGTTAAACCATGCTTGAATGATCCGTCATGCATTCCAATATTTGCCCAGTTAATTTGGTGCTTCAAAAGTTTCTTCTTTCTTATCGTTGAACTAAATCTAATAATGCTCTGCAGTCATACCTTGCATGGAAAGTTGAACTTGCTCAGTATTATATATCAGACTTTGTTGCTTATGAATAAGAACAAGCATAAAGTTTTAATCTAAATTCATTTTGATAGGCAAATTGTTTGAATTTTATGAAGACCACTACCCTTGACAGACCAAATATCTTGGCCGCTTAACTGGGCATTGTAATTTCTTATGTTGCTATAGCTGCTGATGAAGTTTAGCACTGTATTAAAGTTCAGGCTACTAACATTTACTTAGCATCAGCTAGCACATAGCACAATGCACTGGAATTTTGCTGGTTAGTGATCATACATGCGCACTTATTTGCAGCCAATAAAGCTACCCCAAAATTGTCAGTTATAAACAAAAACAAGGGCTACATCTGCAATAATTTGTACTTTTCTCCTTGTCCTCCCTGAAATATAACTGTTGGCCTCATTGATGAATAAGAATTTGAATACATGATGATGATGAGGAGGAGAGTTAAAAGGAAGCTGTTGAGTGTTATAAGTTCAATGATGATGAATATGGAGATTAGAGATAAATAAGATGACTAGTACTACTTATGGATGCTGGATACATGTCAGTTCCTAACCTTAGAATGATTTTATATCTATCTTGTGGTTGTGGGGGTAAATTTGTCTTCTCTTTTATGTTTAAAAAATTGTACGCTAATTGGTACATTCTTAGATTACAAGAATATAGTGCTTTTATTGCTGAATACTTTGTCCATCCCACTAAAGTTGTCAGCTTGGTGGGTGGCATAGAGTTCAGGATTTTAGAGAATCTGTTCCGCTTTACATTTTTGCTCTTTAGATTGTTATTGTGTTTGCAGAAAATGAAAAGTGGAGGTGAAATTTGAATTTTGGAATTTTTGGTGGGGGTAAGATTGGAAAGTTAGTGAACAAAAATTTGACATTTTAGGCAAGTGACAATGTTATTCAGGCAAGTGTCACAAGGTTTGTGGGAAAGATGGAGTACATATGGGACAAATTCAGGTTTTTATTTTTATTAAGTGTGCCTTGGTTTAGTATTGAGCTCAATGCTATGGTCTAGGGGCTATAGCCCCATGAAGACCTTCATGCTATGTTGCACTTTGTTTGACTGACAACTATGCTTGTCCCTACTTTTTCTCTCTTTCCCTTATTTTTGTCCGATTATTTGAGTGGGAAGCGAATCCTTGCTCTCTTGCCCAATTTATTTGCACTCTAATGCTTATTCGCTGTGTTATTTTATACTGTTTCAGCGTCATTTGAAAACTGCCGTGAATAATTGCTGGTCATTTCTTGCAGGCGGTATATGGCATACAACTTGACACCTGTTGGTGGAGTTGCAGCACACATCTCTCGAAATGGCCATCCTGCTCTGACTTGTTCTTTGAACTGTATTATGTCCCCACTTCCTCTGTCCACTCTCTTAAATATACCTGTTTCAATTCTTGGATATTTTTTGGTGCGTCACAATCAGGGCCGCTACCTATTCAAATACCAAGACACTAAAGCTTTTGAGTTGACTCACACTGATGCTGGAAGTCGACTTATTGAAGCTTGGAACAGGGAGCTCATGTCATGTGTTCGTGATTCTTATGTCAAGTTGGTCCTAGAAATGCAGAAGATAAGAAGAGAACCTTCCACTTCTATTCTTGGTTCAAGTTTGGCCCTGGCAGTTGGTCGCACTTTGAATGCCTATGGGGATCAAATCTATTCATTCTGGCCTAGATCAAATGTGAACACAGCCATTGTTGAAAGTGATTCAGCTTCTGTAGAATTTCCCAAAGCAGATTGGGAATGTTTGATTGAGCAAGTAATAAAGCCATTTTATGTACGCCTGATTGATCTTCCTGTGTGGCAGCTTTTCTCTGGGAATCTTGTCAAGGCTGAAGAAGGAATGTTTCTTTCACAACCTGGATCTGGTGTGGGTGGTAGCTTGGTACCAGCAACTGTTTGCGCATTTGTAAAAGAACATTATCCAGTCTTTTCAGTTCCATGGGAATTGGTGACAGAAATACAGGCAGTGGGTATTACAGTGCGAGAGATCAGGCCTAAAATGGTGAGAGAGCTTCTTCGTGCTTCCTCGACATCCACTCTGTTGCGCTCGGTTAATACTATCATTGATGTCCTTGACTATTGCTTATCTGATATCCAGCTTTTAGATTCATCTGAGTCTTGTGATCAGAGTTCATTTGCAGGCATCAATAGCATCAGTTCTGCTTCTGCTACCACTGAAGGTGAAGATAGCAGATCTTTTTCTTCATCCAACCGAAATATGCGCAGTCTTTATAAAACATCTAATTCAAGCACAAGCAGTTCAGGAGATGCTCTTGAGATGATGACTAGTCTTGGAAAGGCATTGTTTGATTTTGGCCGTGGAGTTGTTGAAGATATTGGTAGGACAGGTGGCCCCTTATCTGAAAGGAACAATTTTACTGGCGGTAGAATATTTCGTGTTCCTGATGATGGGGAATACAAGTATCGATCTGTAGCTGCTGAACTCAGAGGCTTGCCCTGTCCAACTGCAACAAACAATTTAATTAGAATAGGAGTTACTGAAGTTTGGGTGGGAAACAAGGAGCAACAACTATTAATGAGTTCATTGGCAGCCAAATTTATCCATGCAAATGTACTAGAGAGAACAATTTTGTTGAATATTTTCTCCAATTACACTCTTCAATCATTTTTAAAGCTGCAGAGTTTCTCATTTTCCCTACTAGCAAGTAACATGCGATATCTTTTTCATGAAAACTGGGTCAATCATGTAACCGGCTCAAACATGGCACCCTGGTTCTCGTGGGAAAACATTGCAAGCTCTGGTACAGAGTGGGGCCCTTCTCCTGAATGGATTAGACTGTTCTGGAAAACTTTTAGTGGTTCACTGGAAGACCTTCCTCTTTTCTCTGACTGGCCTCTTATTCCTGCTTTTCTTGGTCGACCAGTTCTTTGTCGTGTAAGAGAGCGTCATATTGTCTTCATTCCACCCCTAGTAGCTGGTTCTAATTCTGTTGATGCTAGTGATGAGATGAGCTTAACTGAAAGTAGCACATCAGGGTTATCGCTTGATACAGATCTGGCTAATCCCTATACTTTAGCTTTTGAACATTTTGAGAAAAAGTATCCTTGGTTATCATTATTGCTGAACCAGTGCAATATTCCTGTATTTGATGCTACTTTCATGGATTGTGCTGCTCCATCCGACTGTTTACCTGGACCTGACCAATCATTGGGTAAGGTTGTTGCATCCAAACTTCTTGTAGCTAAACAAGCTGGCTATTTTCCGGAAATTACTTCCTTTCTGGCTTCAGACCGTGATGAGCTTTTCAGCTTATTTGCTTCTGAGTTCTCTGATAATGGATCAGATTATGGAAGAGAAGAGCTTGAAGTATTACGTGAGCTACCTATATATAAAACTGCTGCTGGAACGTATGCTAGATTGGTAACCCAAGATTTTTGTATGATTCCTTCAAATACATTCCTAAAGCCGCATGATGAACGATGTTTATTTCACACCACAGATTCTAGTGGGGGTGCTTTATTGCGAGCTCTTGGAGTGCCCGAGCTGCATGATCGACAGATTTTTGTAAAATTTGGATTACCAGGGTTTGAACGAAAATCAGAGTCTGAACAGGAGGATATTTTAATATACCTTTATATGAATTGGCAAGATCTCCAACAAGATCCTTCTATCATCGAAGCTCTTAAGGAGGCTAATTTTGTTAAGACGGCAGACGAACTTTCAGTGCACCTGTCTAAGCCCAAAGATCTTTTTGATCCTGGTGATGTTTTACTGACATCTATTTTTTCTGGGGTCAGAGGCAAATTTCCAGGGGAAAGATTTATTTCAGATGGATGGCTTCGCATTTTGAGGAAAGTAGGACTTAGAACTTCAACTGAAGCTGAGATAATTCTTGAATGTGCAAAAAGGGTGGAGTTTCTTGGAGGTGAATGCATGAAAATTACGGGAGATTTTGATGACCTTGAGACAGATATTTCGAATGGGCAAAATGAAGTCTCTTTTGAAATTTGGTTAATGGCTGAAAGTCTAGCCAAAGCTGTATTCTCAAACTTTGCAGTCCTTTATAGCAACAATTTCTGTAATCTCCTAGGTAATATTACTTGTATTCCTGCTGAAAAGGGATTTCCAATCATAGGTGGAAAGACAAGCGGCAAAAGAGTGCTCTGTTCATATAGTAAAGCTATTGTGATGAAAGATTGGCCACTTGCTTGGAGCTGTGCTCCCATACTTTCTAGGCAGAGTGTTGTTCCACCTGACTATTCCTGGGCTGCACTCCATTTGAGGAGTCCTCCATCTTTCCAGACAGTATTGAGGCACCTTCAGGTAATGGTGCCATGTGCTTGTTACTACATATGGTAAAATGGATAAACAGAAATATTTACTTAACAGTGGATAAGATTATTCCAAACCAATTAATCTACTAAATAAATGGATCTAAATTAGTAGGATTTTGTAATCCATCCATTTATCCATTTGTTCTCCCAAGTCCTTAAGCTATTTGTCCTCCCCAGGCCATACACTCACCCAGACTCATTCAGTGGTACAGACGCATATTTGCCACTCATCTTTAGCACATACACAGTGACTCTCAGAAAGATATGCAAAAGAAATAGTCAGGAATTAAATCCAGACAAGGGCATACTTTAATTCACCTGTACCAGCTTTGGGTCCTGTGTCTCAATAACAACTCACTTGCTGGTCCTATTCCTGACCTTGCCCAACTTGTCAACCTCAAATGGACTCTTAATTGACAAGAAATACTTTTCCTCCTTTCCTCTCTTTACTGGTCCAGTTTCATACTTATTTTGGTAATTATGTTTACACGATTGGCATGATAATTTATTTAAATCTACCAGCTTTACTCGGTTAATATGGTTATCCTTGTAATGACATTAAGATTTTAGTCATCCAAATCCATTTAAACTTCGTTTATTTGAATGGATAAGTTGATGTGAATTCAAATTGCTGCTGTTACCTTAGTCTCATGATATCTTTCATTACTTTATGGGATATGTTGGTTCTTTTTGACTTCTGCTTCAGGCCATTGGGAAAAATAATGGTGAAGACACACTTGCTCATTGGTCAGCTGCACCTGGTTCGAAGACTATTGATGAAGCTTCATTTGAGGTTTTGAAATATTTGGAAAATGCCTGGGATTCTCTATCTTCTTCAGGTATTACCTATTACTTTTGTTAGCCTGAACCAAGCTTATACCTTTTGTATTATGGTGCTTAAGAAAACAGTTCATGATATTGGATAGAGGGCTCTCGCTCATTTTTTATTTCCTTTTCTAGTTTTTATATATCATCAAGCAATCTTTGATCAATATGCTTAATTAGGTTTTCTAGCTTCTCTCTCTTTTTCATTTTATGTGTGATTTCTCAGTCCCTTTTATAGTTGTTTTCACGTTCCAATATTGGAATACTTTACGTCTGTCTCTTATGACTGCCTTGCATTGTAGAAGGTTTATTCATCTAAAGCATGTGCAAAGCAGTCAAAACCTCTTTGTTCAGCACTAAAGACCTCAGGAAAATATTAAAGGAAAGAAGAAGAAGAAGAGGACGACTTTACATTTTGATCCCTAGTGATCAGGAGTCTCAGTCCTGGACTCCTCACAGCTTCTGCACATGCTAATTGGGTCATATGACCAACCCTTTTTTTTTTTTTTTTTTTTTTATCTATAAGAAAATAAACAATTAAGAAAAGGAAAGCCCATCTTCCTCAGAAAAATGGGGTATACTTAAAGTTTTCACTAGTGCAGTGTACTAAAAGTTTTGCCTTATAATTATAAGTGACTGAAGAGTAATAAGTAATCAAGAAAGTGCTAGCTATCATTAGATTTTGCAGTTAGCCTCTTGCTGTTGGGTTGGCTTTGTTCTTCAGGCATCACATTTTATTTGGACAGAAAGAATCGGAAACAAGAAAAGAAATAGAGATTTGTTTGGGAGTTTAAGTAGGAGAAAGAGGAAATGAAAGAGAGAGATTGAGAAAGCTTTTTGGCAGGCTTACATCTTTCCTATCATTTCCTCTCAAAAGTGAGAAGAAATAGGGAGAAAGTCAGAGTTTCCTTAACAAAATGCGTTACAATGTCGTATTTGATCTACTGTCGAACATCTAGATATTGAAATTTGAAGGGCAAAATTGTAAAGAGACCTACTACTAATCTTTTCTCTTTTTTCTCAAAATTCCCAAACACATAATAAAGTTGCAAATTTTCTCTTCTTTACTTTCTTTTATAATTGAACAAAAAGAAAACTAAATTGTTCTGTTATCTCTTTTGTTCTAGGCTCTGTACACCATTTATACAAATGGAATTTGACTTTTGTCAATTCCATGATATCTGTAATCTCCTAAAAATTAGGAGCTAATTTATTCTATCTTAAAATACATTAGGAGTAAATTATTCTATCCTAAAATAGAGCAGAAATCATGGGATATATATAGAATTTATAGCTGTACAGAAAAGATATTCTAGATTTTTAACACTCCCCCTCAAGATGGTGAATAGATATTTTCCATTCCCATCTTGCATGTAATGTCTTCTAAGTTGGAAGTTGGCATTCCCTTAATTAAGACATCTGCCAATTGATTATTTGATGCTATATATGGAGTGCAAATCATGCCGCTGTCCAGCTTTTCTTTAATAAAATGTCTATCTACTTCGATGTGCTTTGTGCGATCATGTTGCACTGGATTGTGTGCAATGCTGATGGCAGACATTTGTCGCAATAGAGTTTCATAGGTCCTTCCCACTTGATTTTAAGGTCATCAAGTATTATTTTGAGCCATAGCAATTCACAAACTCCACGAGCCATAGCTCTAAACTCTGCTTCTGCACTTGATCTTGCAACAATCGATTGCTTCTTACTCCTCCATGTCACTCGGTTCCCACCAAGAAATGTACAATATCCTGAAGTTGATCTACGATCTACACCAGAACCTGCATAATCAGCATCAGTATATGCCTCCATAATCAGCATCAATATATGCCTCTATGAGCAATCCTTCATTTTTCTTGAACAAAATTCCTCTACCCGGTGTCCCTTTGAGATAGGATATAATTCTGTTGACAGCCTGCAAGTGTTTCTCTCTTGGTTCATGCATAAATTGGCTTACTACACTTACGGCAAATGCTATGTCCGGCCTTGTATGGGACAAGTATATCAGTTTCCCAACCAACCGCTGATATCTTCCCTTATCTACTGTACTATCATCTTTCTCTTCATTCAATCTCAAGTTAGGCTCAATGGGTGTGCTTGCTGCCTTGCATCCAAGATTGCCTGTTTCTTTAAGCAAGTCTAAGACATACTTTTGTTGGGAAACAAAGATGTCTTTACTTGAGTATGTCACCTCAATGCCTAAAAAATACTTCAGGTTCCCTAGTTCTTTAATTTCAAACTCCTTTGCTAAGCACTTTTTGAGTGTTTCTCTTTCAATTGGATCATTTCCGGTGATGTTGATGTCATCTACATAGACAAGTAGAGCTGTAACACCTCCTTTTGAATGTTTTATGAACAAGGTATGATCTCCTTGACTTTGTTTGTATTGCATTGCTAGCATCACTTTAGTAAATCTTCCGAACCAAGCCCTTGGCGATTGTTTTCATCCATATAAAGCTTTCTTTAACCTGCACACTTTCTTTTCAAAAAACATTTCATTGAAACCCAGTGGAGGTTCCATGTACACCTCTTCTTCTAAATCCTCATGTAAGAATGCATTCTTAACATCAAATTGCTGTAAACACCAGCCAAAGTTAGCGGCTAAAGACAAAAGAACACGCACAGTATTCATTTTTGCAACGGGTGCAAAGGTCTCTTGGTAATCTATCCCATATGTCTGTGTATATCTTTTTGCGACCAACCGAGCTTTATGCCTTTCTAATGAATCATCAGCTCTATATTTCAAAGTAAACACCTATTTACACCCCACTGTTTTCTTTCCTTTAGGCAGGTTTACAATTTCTCAAGTCTTATTTCTCTCTAGGGCATTCATCTCCTCTTTCATAGCTTGTAGCCAGTTCTTATTTCTAAGTGTCTCTTGTAGTGTTTGTGGGATTGAAATGGAGTTGGTGGTAAGAAAAGTTTTATGTTGTGGAGGGTGTCTATGGAAAGACACGAAATTTGAGATTGGATGCTTAGTGCATTCTCGTGTTCCTTTTCAAACAGCAATAGGCAGGTCTAAATCATTAAATTCACAAGGAGCAGAGTCAGATTGAACAAAGGAACAGAATTTTCAGTACCTGATTGTGGTTTAGATTCTTGGATTTGCACAGGTTCAGAAATATGAACTTTCTTTCTTGAGTAGACCTTGAGTGGTGTAGTTGGAGTTAAATCAATTTTTTTCTCAGCTCCAAGATCAGGTTCAATTTCTTTACTGGCATGTTCAACTTCAAATTTAGGTTCAGGTTCACTGCTAGCATGTTCTCCTTTGGAATTTGGTGTATTACAGGTTTGAAAGACTTCAAGTTTAGTGTAGGACTTTGAAGATTAAGGAGAAATTCCTTATCTTCCCAAGAACTCTCCCCCCGGAGACGAGGATTGTTACTTTGAGAGTAAGGTTTTCAACAAATGTAACATCCATGGAGGTAAAAAATTTTTTTGAAGGTAGATGATAACACTTGTATCCTTTCTTTATGTTTAAGTATCCCACAAAAATACATTTTAAAGCTCTTGGATCAAGTTTCCCTCTTTGGTGTGCATGAACATGTACAAAAGCAACACAACCAAACACTTTTGGTGACAATGTGCAAGAGACATTAAAATCGGGGTAAAAAAACAGAAAGAGCAGCAATGGGACTCTGACTATTTAGTACTTTGGAAGGTACTCTATTTATCAAATGTGCAGGAGTTAAAACAGTCTCCCCCCAAATGGTTTTTGGAACTTTATATTGAAACAAAATTGCTCGAGTCACATTGAGTAAATGTATATTTTTCCATTCAGCAATCCCATTTGGTTGGGGTGTGTCTGCACAAGATGACTCATGTATTATACCCTCTTTTTGGAAAAAAAATGAGAGAATTTGATTTAAATAGTCTCTTGCATTGTCAGATCTTACTCTTTTAATCAAACTTCCAAATTGTGTACAAGCCATTTTATGAAACATTGTAAAAATACTACTTACTTCTGATTTTTCTTTCATAAGAAATAACCAAGTAGTTCTAGTACAATCATCAATGAATGTGACAAACCATTTTGCTCTAGAAATACTAGAAACTCTACAAGGCTCCCAAATATCAATATGTATCAAAGAGAAAGGTCTAGTAGATCTTGTATTACTCAATGGAAATGATAGTCTATGATGTTTAGCAATTTCACATGTATCACAATGAAAACTACTAACATCTTCATTCTTAAAAAGTGAAGGAAACATGCTTTTAAGTAAAATAAAAGATGGATGACCAAGACTGAAATGATGAAGCCAAATTTCAGATTTATTATTTGAGGAGCAGGTGAGGGATAACTGATTATTGTTCTTCTTGTTGCCACTCATTTCCTCAAGGTAATAAAGCCCATCATTCGCCTTAGCAAGTCCAATCGTCCTCCCCGTAACCAAATCCTGAAAAACACAGTGAGTAGAATAGAGAGTTACTTTACAGTTCAGATCTTTGGTAATTTGATGGATGGATATGAGATTGGAGGACAATTTTGGGACATGTAACACATTATTTAGGGACAACGGATTTGATAGATTTGCTGCCCCTTGGCCTGCAATAGTTATAGGAGATCCATCCGCAACAGTAATTTTTCTATTTCCAGGACATGGGTTGTATGTTATAAATCTGATTGGGCTGTGAGACATATGGTCAGTAGCTCCTGAGTCGATGACCCAAGAGCCTAGAGAAGACATGTTTTAGGCACTTAAAGCATAAGAGTTAAGGTACTTACCTGATTGAGCCAATGAACACGTACTAGAGGACTTTTCAAGGGAATTTAGAAGGTTTCTTAGCTTTTCGATTTCTTCTTTCTTGAATTCTCCTATACCAACCTGGTTGGATTCTCCATCAGTTAAGTGGGCTTTTCCTCCTTTGAATCCTCCTTTTTGACTAAGGACTTGTTCCTTCCCATGGAGTTTGAAGCAATCATCTCGCGTATGGTGTGGTTTTTTGCAGTATGTGCACCAAATTGTGTCTTTATTTGACTCTGTACGCCCATTACCTATCTTTGCTTATTGTTTGACTTTGTAGAAATCATTGCCGAGCCTTCTAATGTTTTAGGCTCCAACATGACTTCTCGCCTATTCTCTTCAGCTCGGAACAATGATATTGTTTCATTCAGAGATGATAATCTTTCCTTCCCCAATATCTGGACTCTGACCTGATCAAATTCCGCATTCAGACCTGCAAGGAAGTCATAAACTCTATCCTTTTCGATAAAGTTTTTCAAGGTGGCTATATCTTCACTACACAACATCTGAACACACCGATATTGGTCCAGTTCCTGCCATAGATTTTGCAGAAGATTGGCATATTGAGTAACAGAAAGGTTGCCTTGTGTAGTGGCTGATATGTTTGTTTTGATCTCATAGATTAGGGCAGCATCTCCTGCCTTTGAATAGGTCTGTTGAATAGTAGTTTATATATCTTTAGCTGTTGGTAGGAACATGCAAGTATCGCTTATTTCAGGTAACATGGAGTTCCACAGCCATGACGTGACCATAGAATCCTCTTCATCCCAAGCAGCGAATTTAGGATCTCCCTTTTTCGGTACAGTTCCAAGCAAGTGGCTGATTTTGCCCTTTTCTTTGAGAAATGTTTGAACAAATAGTGACCACTTCAAATAGTTTTTTCCGTTGAGCCTATAGGCTGCCTGGATACTCTGCAAATCTCCGGCCTTTGAATAGGTCTGTCGAATAGTAGTCCATATATCTTTAACTGTTGGTAGGAACATGCAAGTATCGCTTATTTCAGGTAACATGGAGTTCCACAGCCATGACATGACCATAGAATCCTCTTCATCCCAAGCAGCGAATTTAGGATCTCCCTTTTTCGATCCAGTTCCAAGCAAGTGGCTGATTTTGCCCTTTCCTTTGAGAAATGTTTGAAAAAATTGCGACTACTTCAAATTGTTTTTTCGGTTGAGCCTGTAGGCTGCCTGGATACTCTACAAATCCCCTGTTTGCGGAATATTTGAGGGCTCTTCTGATTTGGTATTGGAGTTGATTTCTGATGTTTTAGTTTCAGACATGTTGGAGGTTTCAAAGAAAAATTGGCAATGAAGGCCTAATGAAAAAATCAGCAATGAAGGCTGGAAATTGCACTTGGCAATAAAGACTTGAAAAGAAGAAAGCACTCAGCAATGAAGGCTGACAAGAAGAGGTCCCAAGAGCAAAAGCTTTGATACCATGAACAAAATGAAAACTGAATTGTTCTGTTATCTCTTTTGTTCTAGGCTTTGTACAACATTTATACAAATGGAATTTGACTTTTGTCAATTTCATGAAATCTGTAATCTCCTAAAAATTAGGAGCTAATTTATTCTATCCTAAAATACAATAGGAGTAAATTATTTTATCCTAAAATAGAGCAGAAATCATGGGATATACATAGAATTTATAGCTGTACAGAAAAGATATTCTAGATTTTCAACAATAATTTAAAGTTTCCTCGAGTTTTCCTTTCTGTCCTAGAACTCTGAACTCAGCATTACTCTGGTCAAAGCTACATTATTGTTGTAGATGAATTTTGCTTTCAAATCCTGCATAAACTCAATATGCGTAACCAATAGGACATTCAGGAAGACTAATTTGATAAAACTAGATAGTATTTTCAGATGGGAAAGTGAAGGACATCTCTTTCTTCCAGCTAGCAGAAGAAAAAGATAAGCTAGCAAGAAGTAAGAAAAGAAAAAAAATTTTTGAGCTGGGGTTAAACAGAATCAAATAAATTAATCACAAGTGTGATTAGGTTGCTTGATTGCAGCACCCACTAATTGACTCTAAAACCCTTTTTAAGCATGACCATTTTAGAGACCTCAAAAAATTATATTAATGAGAATATTTTAAACTGGAAAAATGAATGCTATGAAGACAAGGAATCGAGCATAGTTAGTTAATGTGTGCATCACCTTTTGGAAAAGTATAAGAAGTCTATTGGGACTAAAACCTGGTGAAATTTTCAGTAGGAGTGTCTAGTAAAGTTGTGGATATGTCTTAACAAAAAATAGCAGGTCTTATCTTTTCCTTATAACCATATCCTTTCTCATATCTGTATCAAATATTAGACTCGGTTGAGATTAAATAGCACACTATAGGTCTGGTGATAGGCTTTGGTTTAGGCTTTGTACATAATTTTGGTGATGTCTTTGTGTGCTTCTTATGGCTTTACAAAAGATGTAGTAGTTCTAGGGTCTGAGAAGAACTGGAGCTTGGACAGTAACTTTATGTTGATGACGACCTTAACTATATCAAGTACATCTTTTAATCTTCATTTTTTTTTGGTCAGACATTTCAGAATTACGGAAAGTAGCATTCATTCCAGCGGCAAATGGCACACGTTTAGTGACAGCTGGTGCCCTTTTTGCACGACTGACAATTAATCTTTCCCCATTTGCATTTGAACTTCCTGCACTATATCTTCCATTTGTAAAGATATTGAAGGACTTGGGACTTCAGGACACATTCTCTATTGCTGCTGCAAGGGATCTTCTTATAAATCTTCAAAAGGCTTGTGGTTATCAACGACTGAATCCAAATGAATTCCGTGCTGTGATGGAAATTTTGTATTTTGTTTGTGATGAGGCAGTCTCATCAGAAGCGTGTAACTGGGGATCTGAGGCTATTGTGCCTGATGATGGCTGCAGACTTGTTCATGCAAAGTCATGTGTTTATGTTGATTCTCATAGTTCCCATTTTCTCAAATACATTGATGTTTCCAGGCTGCGATTTGTTCACAGTGACCTCCCTGAAGGAATATGTATGGCCTTGGCCATTAAAAAGCTTTCAGATGTGGTTGTTGAGGTATAACAATTTTTTTGAATTCACATATTGTTGAGTTACTTTAAGTTTGCATGTTTACTCTAGTGTCTGTAGTTCAAATATGTGCTGGGAAAAAGCTTTTTCTCTCTAATGGTGTATTCTTTCATCTCGTTTTAGGAACTAGATACCAGGGAAGATCTACAGACTTTGCAGTGTATTCAATCACTGCAACTAGAAGAAGTAAAACACAGGTTATTGAGTAAATCATTTCAAGCTGCCTTGTGGACCATCGTTGGTAGCATTGCAAGTGAAGTTCCTGCTTTCAACCCCGTTCTTCAGAATGTACAGAGGTCCCTTAAAATGGTTGCAGAAAATTTGAAGTTTGTTAAATGCTTGTACACTCAGTTTTTGCTCCTTCCAAAGCGCTTAGATATTACTCATGTTAGTGAGGAATCAATGGTTCCAGAGTGGCAGGAAAGATCACTGCATCGGGCCCTTTATTTTGTTGACAAGTTTGAAACTAGTGTCTTAGTTGCCGAACCACCAGATTATGTCTCTGTTGTTGATGTCATTGGAATTGTTGTTAGCCGGGTTCTAGACTCCTCAATTTCACTGCCTATTGGATCTCTGTTTCTGTGTCCTGAGGGCTCTGAGATGATACTAGCCACAGCCTTGAAACTTTGCTCTCAAAAAAAAGTGGCTGAGCAAGGAAATGGAACAGATGAGTTGATGGGGAATGATATACTGCCCCAAGATGCACTTCAAGTGCAACTTCTCCCGTTAAGGCCTTTCTATAGGGGCGAAGTAGTGGTATGGCGATCTCAAAATCGAGAAAAATTAAAGTATGGCAGGGTTGCTGAGGATGTAAAACCTTCAGCAGGTCAAGCACTTTACAGACTTAAGGTGGAAACATCTCCAGGGATAACTGAACTTCTTCTTTCTTCACACGTTTTCTCATTCAGAAGTGTTTCAGTCAGCAGCGATGCTTCTTCAGTAACTAATCTGGACGATCACCACACTGAAATTGAGAGTGGCATTGTTGGATCTAGCAGAGCCATTGCGAGATCTCATGGGGTATGAGCCTTCTTGTTTGCAAATTACATTTGTGTTCCTTGATATGATAGAGCAGCCCACTAAAGCTAAAGAGGATGATAGTAGTGGATCAACATAGCTAATCTAATTTATGAATTGCACTTAAATATGCCTCTTTGCATCAAGGAGTATAAAGAGTTAAGCATAGTAAAGTTTAAAATGAATCATAGGCACTGTTCATTTATTCACCAAACCTTCTGCTAATGTCATTTGTTGTGGCTAGACTAAAGCATGGTTTCAGATCAATGCCAAACAATTCACCTTACTAAAGCTAAAATTTACTAAGAGAAGGTGAAGTGCTAACCAAAGGTTTTGCTATCCCTGTTCTAGTTCTTTTCTACAGTATTAATCCCATCTTCTTGTACTGAATTAAATTGAAGTTCCATCAATTTATAGGCATGAAGCCACTGTGGCCAAATTCTTTTCATGGCAAGATGCTGCTGGACACTGTATACAAGTCCACTTCTTACTAACGAACAGTAGATATAATTCTTGGTCACTTGATATGGTCTAATAAAAGCATTTTTATTGGTTTCAAGGCCAAGTGAATTTCTTTTATTCAACGCTAACATGGTGAGATTTCTATTTTGGTCTTGGAAAATTCCGTCACTGCCTTAGGAGTTAAAGAAAAGATATATTAAGTTGTTTTAACTTTTATTGGATAATTTTAAGTTTTTGTAGAACTATAACACTAATGTAATTGGTGTGAATTGAAATTTGTTGTAGAACACGACATTATAATTTGTTGTAGAACACAACATTGGAGAGTGAAGGCACTCAAAATGAAATTTAGACGATCTGTTAAAGTCACACCCTGGTTGTGAATAGAAATCTGCCATACCCTCAGTTATCTAAGATATGGACATTGTTATGGATTAGAGCTAATATAGGCTCCATACTTCATTTATGGCTAACTGAGCTTCAATTGATCAAGTTATTTGCTGGTCATGCCAAACCTTGTGAAAACACACGGGATCGAATATGTATAACAATATTTGTAAATGAACTTAAAAGGACCAAAGAAAAGACAGATGACCGCATTTACAGATTTTTTCTACTGTTATCTTCGTTGCCACTTTAAAAATTGAGTAGAAAGCATGGGAGGAAAAAAGACCATTCCACATGCTTTCAAGAATCATACCTATATTCTGTTTGTGTAACAACAATTTCTGCATATAATTGTATTTGCAAAGTTTGATTGTAAATTATGAGTGCTCTTGATACATTTTACCATTTGTCTCTCTCTTTCTTTCTTTCTGTCCCAAGAGGTTATGTAGTGATCTCCTGTATTAAGTGTTTGGGAGAGTCATATTTTCAATGTCTGATGTTGAAATTGTTTAATGTGACTGGGGTGGCTGCATCAGTAGTTGTTTGGACTTTTATAATCGTTTAGTCATGGTCTATCAATTGGATCATATGCTTATTGATTTTCCCCCCCTGATCATCTACTATTAACTCTTTTACCTTGACCATACAAGTTGATAAATGCTTCTGCCGTGTGCAACAGCAACCAGTTCAAGATCTCCAGCATGGCCGAGTCTCAGCTGCAGAAGTTGTCCAGGCTGTTCATGAGATGCTATCTGCAGCTGGAATTAATATGGATGTGGAGAAGCAATCACTACTGCAGATGACAATGACACTGCAAGAGCAATTAAAGGAATCGCAGGCAGCACTTTTGCTTGAGCAGGTTGGTATCTTGAGACTTTAATCAAACAACTCAAAAAATCAGCCTTCCCTTTCCTTTCCCCTCTGTCCCAGCATAATACTCAAACCATAACTAGGGCAGTATGCAACAGAATAATCTTCATCTTTGCATCTTTATTTTGGGTTTCATAGGCTGGTTCTTGAAAGGTGAAGAGTTGCTTCAAGGTGGCTCTAATATCTCATGTGTTATCGCCTATTTCTAAGATTCTTTAATGGGCTATGTGTCCTATGATTGTGTAGGATGGGGAACATATTGTGATGTTATCAATTTAAGGATTATGCTTCTCCTATTGTCTTGTGCAGTCTATTGAAGGATTAATTACATCTAAGCCCCTTAAAATATATGATTATTTATCAAAATTAAATGACATTTTGTAATTAACTCCACTTCTAATTAGGTTAAATAGATAATCCAAATAAAAATGAGGACTTAAATTGCAGCCCAACCATGCCCTTGCCCATTCTCAACCATCGGTTGGCCCAATATCTCCTCTGTTTGAGTATTTCTATCAGTACCACCATCAATTCCTTACCTGGTCAATAAGATCGGCAAACTCAAATCTTTTGCTAATCTTCCTTCCTTCAGTTGACCTTCTCTTCTAGCAACCAGCAGCAACTTCATATTACCTTCTCCCGCCCCCCACCCGGGGGCAAAAGCCCGTACCCCATCCCCAAATCTCCTCAAATCACCAGCCACGTTCTTCTACATTTAATTGCTTCCATCTCATGAGTGTGTGTGACCACCACATTCTGTTCCGTCTGCAGGGTGCTTTGTCTGTGATGTGTTACATTGTACATGGATGTGCAAGTATGAGTGTTATGTCTATGTGCATCATCAGAGGAGGTGGTGCCTTGGGGATCTGTACAGTTCATTGTCAATCTTGATAAAAAGAACACATGAAATGTACAAATCTAATTTGAAATGACTCTCCTTAAGTCTAACTCCCTCTTGGACCAAGGCAAAGGGAAGGGTTTCATTTATATGTTATGATTTGTCAGATGGTTTAGCGTAGAGACATAGCTTTTCTTCCACCATGCGCATGAAAGATCATCCATATCGAACTCTGGTGGTGGTTTTTAGATACTTGGTTACTTTTTCTTTTAGCAGTAATTCATTCAGAAATAAAACAGAATTATAACTATGTATTACATGTATGAGTTTCACATATTGTCTTTTGTCCTTTCAACATTGCTAAGTGGTGATTTTCTGGATGTTTTACTGGCATATGTGCAGGGAATTGACTTCTTGTTACTTGGTGGTTTTAGACATATTTTCTTTCAGGATTTCCTTCCTAATTTTGTCCTCTCTACTAGTAAAACTTCTTTGTGGGAAAAAAATTAATTATTGAATCTTGAATGTTAACTTAATACTAAAGTAGAATCTCTCTGATGTATCTCTAGTGACCCATTATTATTTGTGTTTTGAGTATTTTCTTAAATTTGCTAGTTTTCAAAAAGTTATTATGGCCAAAAGGAATTGTTGTAATTAATTATTTGCTGTAGTAGTTGGGAGTTTTCTTTCCTTGTTTAATTATTTGTGGAACGTCTATATGTTTTTGACCAAGTTTACCTGAATGATTCTCTGAAATCCACTAAGAATGGACTTCAATGGTTTTAAGATATATTAATTTTCTCCATAGTATTTGATTTCTAGGATATGTAGAAGTCTTTTGTGTTTGGACTATTTACAATAAATTTTAGGGAATTTCAAAGGATGCTAATAGCTATGGTCTATGACTCAGCAGTGCCTACTCTTTATCCTGCATTCAGCCAAATTTCCTAGCATCCCCATTTTGCCAAAGTTTGTATTCCTCTAGTGTATTCTACTAAATCCACCAAGGACCCCGTATTTTTGGCCTTTCTGAATGCTGAATTTGGAAGCTTCCTCAGTGCTTATGGGAGAAGAAAGAAAAAATGACTGAGAAAGCATCAAATCTTGTTAGAAAGCATGTGACTGAATGTAGCATAACAAAAATTGTCGCCCTAGATAGATAAGATTCATCCAGTTGACCACAATGGGTATAAGCAAGGACTTCTAATCTTTTTATAGAGTAATGGACAATTAAAAAACTTTTTTTTTGCTTATGCTTATGCTAAACTCTGAATTTTGTAGTTAAATAGATGTTATTCTTAGATGCGATTCCTTGCAATTATTTCAACTGTGTACTTTGCATATCCAATCTACTATCCAATATCACAAATTGCATCCATCAAAGGCATTGAGCTGCCACTGCTTTGTGTCTTATATCCAAATGTACCTTGTTTTAGCACAATTTGTCATAGGCTGTAGTGAACAAACAGCAGTTATGATTGTCCCTTGCTATATTGACAGACCTATTAACAAGCAACAAAAAAGGCTTATATTCCCCTCCCCACGGTGCCCACCTCTAGGGTCAAAAAAAGAAAGAATGCTAAGATGTGTTATAATTTCGGGAAAGGAAAACGTCTTCAGATTTTTGTTGTCTTGCTCGCAATAGTTGTTGAAAGTTTTTTAAAAAGAAAAGAAATAAATAAAAAACTCTGCTTTTCTTTATTTTCCCACACACCAAATATGCTTACAAGGTAGGCATTTATAGGACAACCCTCTTATAGTTCTGCCACAACTTAAGGTAATAGAACCATGATTTTAGGGATTACATAATCAACTCATATCCTATCTTCTATTCAAACTTGATTGATCATAAGCAATAAAATCCCATAATCATGGGAGATAATCTCTCATAATCATGGGAGATAATATTTCATAATCATAGGAGATAATATCTCCTATAATCATGAGAGATAATCATGGGATTTAATATCTCCCATAATCATAGGAGATAATATCTTCGACACCCCCCCCCCCTAAAGTTGGTGCATATATATTTATCATGCCCAACTTGCTTGTAAGAAGTTCAAAATTTGGTCTAAAGAGTCCTTTGGTGAGAATGTCAGCTATCTGCTGAGCTGATGGAACGAATGGCATGCAGATAATTCCTCCTTCAAGTTTCTTTTTTATGAAGTGGCGGTCAATCTCAATATGTTTGGTTCTATCATGTTGTACAGGATTGTGAGCTATGCTAATTGCTGCCTGGTTATCACAATAGAGCCTCATTGGAAGTTCAATAGGTCTTTTCAGCTCCTCTAAAACTCTCTTCAGCCATAACATCTCACACACACCATGAGCCATAGCTCGGTACTCTGCCTTTGCACTACTACAAGCTACTACCCTTTGTTTCTTACTTCTCCAAGTAACCAAATTGCCCCATACAAAGGTACAATACCCCAAGGTTGATCTTCTATCAATGACTGATCCTGCCCAATCAGCATCTGTATAAGCTTCAATGGTCTTTCGATCTCCCCTTTTAAAGAACAATCCTTTTCCTGGAGTACTTTTTAAGTACCTCGGAATTCGATATACTGCATCAAGGTGCTTTTCATATGCAGAATGCATAAACTGGCTCACAACACTCTCTGAAAAGGCTATATCAGGACGATTATGAGCCAAGTAAATTAGCTTGCCTACTAACTTTTGGTATCGAGCAGTATCAACTGGTGTTCCATCTTTTATATCTGTTAACTTGTGATTCGGATCCATAAGAGTGTCTGCAGGTCGACATCCACTCATCCCTGTTTCCTTTAAAAGATCCAAAACATACTTGCGTTGGGACACAACTATGCCTTTCTTGGACCGAGCTACCTCCATCCCTAAGAAATATTGTAGTGTTCCCAAATCTTTGATTTCAAAGCTAGAAGCAAGACTTTTCTTCAACCACTTCATCTCAATTAAGTCATCTCCTGTGAGAATGATATCATCCACGTACACAATGAGTACTGCTATCTTCCCGTCCTTGGAGTGTTTAACAAATATGGTGTGATCACTCTGAGTTTGGGTATAGTCTTGATCTTTTACCAACCTAGTAAATTTGTCAAACCAGGCCCTAGGAGATTGTTTGAAACCATATAACGATTTTTTTAGCTTGCAAACTCTAGACTGAAACTTTCCTTCAAATCCAGGGGGAGAATCCATGTACACCTCTTCCTCCAGACCTCCATTTAAAAATGCATTCTTGACATCAAGTTGTTGGAGTGGCCAATCAAGGTTTACTGCTATTGAGGGAAGCACTCTAATAGTGTTTAATTTTGTCCCTGGAGCAAAAGTTTCAAGATAATCAATGCCGTAGGTTTGAGTGAACCCTTTAGCCACCAATCGAGCTTTGTACCGTTCCAATGTCCCATTGGAATTATACTTGATGGTAAAGACCCATTTACACCCTACTGTCTTTTTCCCTTGTGGCAGGTTTGTTACTTCCCATGTTTGATTCTTCTCAAAAGCATACATCTCCTCTTCAATAGCCTTTCTCCACTCTGGAACTTGTAATGCTTCCTGTGCATTTTTTGGAATTTTCACAGCAGAAAGTTGTGAAGTAAATGTCAAGAAAGTAGGGACAGTTAGTCATGGGGTGTTTTTGGTACAAGATTCGAAGTGCAATAGGAAGACCCAAATCAGCCATCTTTGAATCAGAGGAAACTTTATCTGAGGACTCAAATACATCAAATTCTGCCCTAGGTTCGGATTCTTTGTTGTGAAGAGAAGGGGGAGCTTTATCTTTTCCTCGATGATTTTTCCTGACATAGGTTTTCAAGTTTTTTTCAGTTACATTCCCATCTCTTTCACTAAGAGAATTCGACTCTGTTATTGGCACTAAAGACGAGATCCTCTTCTAATCCTTGATCAATTTTTTCAAGTTTTTCAAAATCCTTTTGACGGGCAAATTGAAGAGTATCATTTGATTTTTCTGGATTATTATCTTGAAAAGGTTCTTGTTGAGGAAATTGTGCTGTAGATTCTTCTAAAAAATCAGAAAAATCGATTCTCCTATCAGCAAAATTTTGATCAGGAATTTGATTTTCAATACGAAAAAATCATCATCTTCTACAAGTTCTTCTACATGCCGAGTCCCCCCCAGAAGAGGATCTCCAAAAAAAGGTTTATCTTCAAAAAATGTTACATCCATAGTTACAAACATTTTTTTCGAAATGGGATCAAAGCATTTATACCCCTTTTGCGTGGGTGCATATCCAACAAAAATGCACTTTTTTGCTTGAGGGTCTAACTTACTTCGACCTTGTTCATGATTGTGAACAAAGGCTATGCACCCAAACACCTTTAATGAGACTTCATATGTTAATCGAGAAATGGGATAAAGTGTTTTGAAAAAATTCAGAGTTTGGAAATTCAAGGTTCTTGAGGGCATTTTGTTTATGAGATATGTAGCAGTTAAAATTGCTTCGCCCCATAGATATTTAGGAACATTTCTTGAAAAAAGTAATGTCCTCGCCACTTCTAAAAGATGTTTTTTTTCTTTCAGCTACCCCATTTTGTTGTGGGGGTATCATTGCAGGAGGTTTGATGCACAATTCCTTTTTCAAGAAAAAACCTTCCCAAAATTTTATTGAAATGTTCTTTTCCATTGTCACTCCGAACAATTTTGATTTTTTCTTGAAATTGGGTCAAAACTATGCTGTAGAAATTTTAAAACACAGTTGCAACCTCTGATTTCTCTCTTAACATATACACCCAACAAACTCTTGTGTGATCATCGATGAATGTAACAAACCATTGTTTTCCAGACGGAGTTGAAATTCTAGAGGGACCCCAAATATCAGTATGTAATAGAAGAAACGGTTTTGATGGTTGATAAGGATGTATAGAAAATGTAGACCAATGATGTTTAGCCAATTCGCAGATTTCACATTGAAAGGAAGATGAATCTTTATTCTTAAACAAATCTGGCAATAAATATTTCATGTAATAAAAACTAGGATGTCCTAGTCTAAAGTGCAATAACATAATCTCTTTATTACTAGTAATAGAGACAGACCTGTAACATGTGTTTTTGATTGGTGTTGACAAATTTGATTCATCTTCAAGGAAGTAAAGTCTCCATTTTCTCTAGCACATCCAATCATCCTCCCCGTGGTCAGTTCCTGAAACTCACAAAAAGAGGGGAAAAAATTAATCCGACACTTGAGATCCCTAGTTAATTTACTTATGGACAGCAAATTGCATGATAAATTTGGAACATGAACTCTATGAAGTGTGAGAGTAGGAGAGATGACAACGGAACTTATGCCAACTATGACGGATAATGCTCCGTCAGCAACCTTGACTCTTTTATTGGCTGCACATGGACTGTAGGTAGAAAATAATTGTGACTAACTGGTCATATGGTCAGTGGCCCCAGAATCAAACCCATACAATCCGTGGACAAGATGCATTTGATGTTTTACATGAAAGAGCAACAGTAAAAAGATTACCATTTTTAGCAAAAGAACAGAAAGGAGTGAAGCTTTTTGGTTTAGTGACTGAAAATTGTGGAGACTTAAAGAGTTTGTACAGTTGGTTTAATTGTTCCTTTGTGAAGGCCAGTGTCTCAGAGTCAGTTTATTGCTTTTGAGAATCCTCATTCACAGTCTGCAATACCTTGCTATCACCTCCATTTTTCTTCTTGAAATTCGATGGTTTCCCATGTAATTTCCAGCACGTGTCCTTTGTGTGCCACGACTTTTTATAGTGTTCACACCAAGGCTTCCTTCGTTTATCTCCGTTCAAATCTGTTCCCTTAGAAACCAATGCTGAAGTCTTAACTTCACACTCTGCCTTGGACTTTAGCATCACCTTACGCCTTGATTCTTCTCTTCTGACCTCAGAAAATACTTCACGAATGGAGGGAAGAGGCTTCCTGCCCAAAATACGACCTCGCACCTCATCAAGTTCTTGATTTAGTCCAGCCAGGAAGACATAGACTCAGTCATTCTCCTCCCATTTCTTGTATCGAACACTGTCTGCACGGCAGTCCCATTCATCCTCATAACAAAGATCCAATTCCTGCCATAAAGTTACCATCTGATTGTGTAATAGGTTGTAACATCTCTATCTTCTTGTCTTGATTTTCACAATTTCGTCTTGAGATGGAAAATTTGAGACGAATTCTCTATATCGGAATACATATCCCGGACAGCGTCCCACACATCTTTGGCTGTGGGCAAAAATAAGTGTGGCTTTCTTATCGCTGGTTCCATAGAGTTTATCAACCAAGCAATAACTAGAGAGTTCTCTGAATGCCATCTCTTCAAATTGGGATCTTCAGTAGCTGGTTGTTGAATTTCTCCAGTAAGGTGGCCGAGTTTACCTCTGCCATCAATAGCCAGTTTTACGAATTGAGCCCATTCCAGATAATTGGAACCATTTAATTTATGAACGGTTATTTATAGGGAAGGAGAATTTGAAGCAGAGTAATCTGTAGTTTGGATAACTACTGAAGACGAGGATGAGTCTTCTCTTGTGTGAGCAGTAGATCCAGTTATGGCTGCTCGGTAGTTCATGGCAGGAATTCGTACAGAGCCGGAGCTCTGATACCATGAAAGTTTTTTAAAAAGAAAAGGAAATAAATAAAAAACTCTGCTTTTCTTTATTTTCCCACACACCAAATATGCTTACAAGGTAGGCATTTATAGGACAACCCTATTATAGTTCTGCCACAACTTAAGGTAATAGAACCATGATTTTAGGGATTACATAATCAACTCATATCCTATCTTCTATTCAAACTTGATTGATCATAAGCAATAAAATCCTATAATCATGGGAGATAATATCTCCCATAATCATAGGAGATAATATCTCCCATAATCATAGGAGATAATATCTTCGACAGTTGTGACAGATGCCTTAAAAAAATTAAAAAATATTTGTGACAGATGAAAATGCATACAAGAGAAGAATTACAATTTGATTTTTCTAGTTAAAGTGATGTTATACTTAGATGTTATTCCTGCAATTATTGCAAATGGATACTTTGTATTTCCAGACTACTAATAAATATCAACAAATTGCATCTGCCAGTGCCTTGATCTGCCACTGCCTTGTGGCTTATATCCAAATGTGGCTTGTTTTAGAACAATTTTTCATAGGTTCTAGTGCACCCTTCTAGTAACATTATTTGCTGTTGAACAAAGAACGGGATATGATTGTCCCTTGCTATATTTACAGTTCTATTAACAAGGAACAAAAAGGACTTATGTTGTTCTCCACCCCACCCCAAAAAAAGGACTCTTAAAGATGGGTTATATTTTGGGAAACGAAGACGTCTTCAGATATTTTGTCTTGCTTACAATAGCTGTGACAGATGAAAATGCATACAGGTGAAGGATTACAATTTGAGGAGTGGAAGATTTCATCACATCTTGCTGGTTTTGTTCCACCTTTATTTTTCTCCCTCTCTGGTTGTTAACAAGTTCTCACTGCTTTCTTGGTGTGTTTAACATGTAAAGCATTGGTACTCTTAATCTAGTTTGTATAACAATACTTGCATATACTGATGCGCTTCGATTTGAATAAGCTCCAGACGAGGGCAAGTAGGATGAAATATCTTGTCTTTGTCAATTTATGGCATGAAATTGAATGAAAAGGAAATGTTATTTCGTGACTTTGAGTTTTTTTATTTGTGACTGGCCGCTTTTATTTGTCTAATTATACAGGAAAAATGTGACATGGCTGCCAAAGAAGCTGATATAGCTAAAGCAGCATGGTTGTGCCGGGTATGCTTGAGCAATGAAGTAGATGTGACAATAATTCCATGCGGCCATGTGTTATGTCGAAGATGCTCTTCTGCTGTTAGAAGGTGTCCTTTCTGTCGCCTCCAGGTCTCGAAAACGATCAGAATCTTCCGTCCTTGAAAACACCAAGCACAAGATTTTGAGTTTTCGCAGTGAGAAGAAAATTTAATTCTTTACCATTTTGGTACCTGCTTCTTTCGGTGTGCTCATGATCGTCATTTGGTTCCTTTCCTTAACCTATAGCATTTGTAAAATTGTAGTATATTGGTTTCAGACATTCTGTACATAGTTGTACAGCTATTCTCATATTGGCTTGTATAGCAAATATTCATCTAAACATAGATTGATTTCTTGAAAGTTCACCAGTTATATAGGACATAATAGTAAACTATTTTGGTCAAAGGAACTTCCTTCAATTATTCAGTTAAAATGATTTCCTATTGATTGGAAAGCTTCAATATGGTCTTGTGCACGAAAAGGGGGTCGCGTACCCTAATACGGTGGTCTTGCAATCATACAAATCAATCTAACTCGCTGCTGGTGTTTTGTAAGTCCTGCTCAGTGCTGACTTTCAAGTCAAGACTATAGGGTTTGGTTGTAGGTAGGCAAATTGGAATTACAGTTTAACGTGACCGTTAAACTTTTCTTCTTCTTGTTATTTATTTATTTTATTATTATTGTTTTGTGAAGGCCGTATTAGTGGAGCATTTTTATATAGTAGACCTTCTGGAATCCAAGAAATGAACAGGAATTAGTTCGTAGTAACAAATATGGTGGTACACGTTTGCCTTGTAGATTGTTATTTGTCATTTTTATGTACCAACTCCTTGTTGGAAATTGTGGGATAGTTGTTTGAATATTTTTTTTGAAAGATCGTTAAATTTTCCCTTCACAAAAGTTGAATTTTCCTAGAACTCTAACCAAGTTTAAAATTCTAAGCAGTGTTAGACTCAACATGATATGAATTGATTTTAATTTGATAAAAGTTAATTTCCTTCTTTTGAACTATTTAAATTAGATTTGTAGAGAGTGTTTGATGGGTATTCCAAAACCAAAATAAGCAGGTTGGTAATTAGAGATAAAATCCCGTAGAGTTATCTGATTGAACTTGGTAAAAGATTTAAATATATGGGTTTGGATTTAGTAAGAGGGATTTTGGAGAATATTTGACCTGCTGTCATTCTTACACTATCTTGTCTCAAATTGCTTTATCACTTGTCCAACTTTTAAATGTATCAAAATGAGCACACGGCCAAAAAAAAGTCACTCAACTATTTAAGATTACACCATTTAGTCACTAAGCCTTTTTTTTTTTTGCCAAAAAGGTCAATGAGCTAGAAAAATTGTACTCCCTCCGTCCCATTGCTAATGTCATGTTTCCACTTTTTTGTTGTCCCAAAATAAGAGTCTCATGGCAAAAGTCAAACAACTTTCACTGCTACTTTCCTTTTATACCCTTAGTAATAATGACAAGATTCCATCAATTAATAATAAACAATTGCATATGGCCCACCACAACACATGCACACTTTCACCTAGGGCTGCAAACGAGTCGAGTCGAGTCGAGTTTTGAGCTAATCGAGCCGAGTCTCGACTAAATTTTACCAAACTCGAGCTCGAGCTCGACGAGTTGGCAATTTTCGAGCTCGAGCTCGACTCGAATCAAGTCGAGCCGAGCTCGAGCTTTAAAAAAAAAAATTATTTTATTTTTAAAAAAAATAAATAAAATAATATTTTTTTCTGAATAAATAATAAAATATTAAAGATATATCCGTAATTTCACTATGAAAATAAAAAATAAAATATATATATAATATACGTAATTTTATTATTAAATAAAAATAAAAATAAAAAATATATATATACTCAAGCTCGCGAGCTAACGAGCTTAATATTCTGAGCTCGAGTTCGAGCTCGAGCTCGACTCGAGCCGCTCGCGAGCGACTCGATTCGTTTGCAACCCTACTTTCACCATTCCTGTAACCTTTTGCTTTTAGCTGGCTATTTCCGTATGTCAGACAATGGATAAAACTGGAAGAATATGAAAAGTGCAGTCCACCATTTTACTGTGCATAAAAAGTGCAACTCCTGGAAAACGTCCCAAATTTTGGGACGGAGGGAGTATCTTTTATGGTTGTGAATTTCAGAGGAAGAGAATAAATTCCCCATATTTTTATTCATCAATCGTAAGGGTATATATACAGGTATAGACATCCTATAATAGGAAGATATCCTATTACAATAAATCAGTCCTCTAATTCCTATAATTTAGGCTACAAACTAGCCTACATTTGTTAGCTATCTAATCCCTACAAATCAGCCTATATCAATCTGTGACAGCTATCTAATCCCTACAAATCAGCCTGCATATAATCTGTAACATCTAATCCCTACAAATCATCCTGCATATAATTTGTAACACTCCCCCTCAAGTTGGAGCATAGATATTAATCATGGCCAGCTTGTTACATAGATAATCAATCCGGACCCCGTTAAGAGCTTTTGTGAATATATCACCTAATTGTTCTCCAGTCTTCACATAACCTGTAGTGATCAAACCTTGTTGGATCTTTTCACGAACGAAATGACAATCAATCTCAATGTGTTTCGTTCGTTCATGAAAGACTGGATTGGAAGCAATGTGAAGTGCAGCTTGATTATCAGACCATAGCTTGGCAGGTACTGAGACCTTAATTCCTACTTCACTAAGGAGCTGATATACCCATATGACTTCACACACAGACTTGGCCATAGCTCTATATTCAGCTTCCGCACTGGATCGTGAGACGACATTCTGTTTCTTACTCTTCCATGAGACCAAATTTCCCCCAACAAAAACACAATATCCTGAAGTAGATCTCCTATCTTCCTTACACCCTGCCCAATCTGAATCTGAAAAACATTCAATCCTAGTATGACCATGATTGCCATATAGGATTCCACGTCCAGGAGCACATTTTAAATAGTGCAAAACTTGTTCGACTGCTTTCCAATGGTCAACAGTTGGTGAGGACATATATTGGCTTAACACACTCACTGAATAAGCAATATCAGGACGTGTCACAGTAAGATAATTCAACTTTCCGATTAGTCTTCTGTACCTCTCAGGATCTGCACACAATTCACCTTCTTTGGTTAATTGTAAATTAGGAACCATTGGGGTACTACATGGTTTAGCACCCAACTTTCCCGACTCCGACAGTAAATCAAGTACATACTTTCTCTGTGATAGAAAGATTCCCTTCTTACTCCTGCTAACTTCAACTCCCAAGAAATACTTTAACATCCCCAAGTCTTTGGTATAGAACTGAGTATGAAGAAAGGACTTTAGAGACGAAATTCCGCTAGAGTCGCTACCTGTGATTACAATATCATCCACATATACAACTAACAGAATAATACCTCCATTAGAGTGTCTATAGAAAATAGAATGATCTGACTTGCTTTTCTGCATCCCAAATTTCTCAATAGCTTGGCTAAATTTTCCAAACCAAGCCCGAGGACTCTGTTTCAAGCCATATAGAGATTTTTGCAGATGACAGACTTTCCCTTTCCCATACCCCCCTTGAGCAACAAAACCAGGTGGTTGCTCCATATATACCTCCTCCTGAAGATCACCATGAAGAAAGGCATTCTTGATGTCTAACTGATGCAGAGGCCAGTCATAAGCTGCAGCAAGGGAGATAAACAACCTGACCGAAGCAAGTTTAGCAACAGGAGAAAAAGTATCATGATAATCCACCCCATAAATTTGAGCATATCCTTTAGCAACAAGTCGAGCTTTCAATCGAGAAATGGAGCCATCAGAATTCATTTTGACAGTAAACACCCATTTACATCCAATGGCTTGTTTACCTGCAGGTAAGGTAACCAAAGTCCATGTACCATTGACATCTAGAGCATTCATTTCCTCAATCATAGCAGTCCGCCATCCGGGATGAGCTAATGCCTCTCGAACAGTCTTAGGTACAGAAACAGTGTCTAGGGATGTAAGAAAAGCACAAGAAGAGGAAGACAAATGATGGTAGGAAACAACTGAAGAGATTGGATAAGTACATGCACGTTTACCTTTTCTGTGAGCAATAGGGAGATCAAGATCATCGTTGGCAGCCGGATCTGATGACAAAGAGACTGGTTCATCAGGACATGATTCTGGAGACTCAAGGACCAAGTCAGAACTAGGCTGATGTGCCCGACGTGAGTAGGTATAGTTGATGGGAGGCTTAACCGGTGTAGAAGGAGGCGGACCCGAATTTGGTATGACACTATAGATTAACAAATCATCATCCTCCCCTGGACTCACAGAACTTGAAGAGCCTGAAGATGAAGATAAAGGTGTTTGTTCCAAAAAAGTAACATCAGCAGACACAAGATACTTACCAAGACTAGGACAATAACAACGATACCCTTTTTGCATGCGAGAATAACCCAGAAACATACACTTTAAGGACTTAGGATCAAGTTTTGTAAATTGAGGACGAACATCCCGAACAAAACAAGTACAACCGAATATCTTTGGTTCTATAGGAAACAACTGTTTATTTGGAAATAGAGTGTGGAAAGGAGTATTACCAGACAAAACAGAGGAAGGCATACGATTAATTAGAAAACAAGCAGTAGATAGAGCATCAGCCCAGAAATATTTAGGAACCTTCATTTGAAATAACAAAGCTCGAGCAGTTTCAACAAGGTGTCTATTCTTTCTCTCGGCAACCCCATTTTGAGAAGGGGTGTCAACACAAGAGGTCTGATGAAGAATACCCTGCTCAAGCATGTATTTCTGAAAACTGCTTGAAACATATTCTTTTGCATTATCACTTCGTAAAATTTGTACAGGTTTACCAAATTGGGTTCGAATTTCAGCACAAAAGGAAGAAAAGTGAAGAAATAGTTCTGAGCGACTTTGCATCAAATAAAGCCATGTCATTCTAGAATAATCATCCACAAAGGTAACAAAATATCTGAAACCAGTTTTAGAGGTAACTGGACAATGATCCCAAACATCAGAATGTACTAACTCGAAGGGAGCAGTAGTTCGCTTATTGATTCTAGGACTAGAACTAAGACGATGATGTTTAGCAAACTGACAAGACTCACAATCTAATGAAGTAATGTTTGAAAACTGAGGACAAAGTTTCTTCAACATAGAAAGCGAAGGATGACCCAATCGACAATGTGCTTCAAAAGGAGAGATTGTTCCAGCACAAGCTATAGACCCTGGTTTCGGTGTATCAAGAATGTAGAGACCGTCAGACTCATGTCCCTCACCAATAATCTTCTTCGTCATGAGATCCTGAAATGAACAATAACCAGGAAAAAATGAGACACAACAATTAAGAGCACGAGTAAGTTTGCTGACAGAAATCAGATTAAAAGATAGTTGTGGTAGACTCAGAACAGATGATAAATGGAGGGATGATGTGGGCTTAGTGGTTCCAGACCCAATAACACTGGATGT